TACTTTTCTCTTAAAAGCTGTTATCAAATCGGCTTCCACCACCCTTTCAGGCAATGCAATCCCAATAACTCACTGCGTGAAAAAATTTCTCCTCACCTCCCCTCTGTTTCTTTTAACAACTATTTTATCGGTTCCCACCAAAAATAGCTGATCTTAATGAGGTCTCTTATAGATTGCATTGCGGGCAACAGATACGAGAAGTGGAGCAAGCCTGACCTCTGCTGGCGTTACTGATCAAATACTTCAAGCAGGGCCTGTTATTGTGCCCCTTCTCAAATTTACTGCAAAGGTAGGCAGCTGGAGGGGCTGTCGTCCCATTTGCACCCCTAGGTCTCTGACATTTTAAACAGCAGTACAGTACAGAACAGCACATTCACCCCATAAAGACCTTTACATTTCCTGCCCTTTCTCTCTCTCTCTTTATTTCACTGTCTGTGCCTGAATTCAATTCCCGGGCAGGGCGAAACATTGGGCAAGCTTCCTTACTCCTGCCTGTTTACCGAGCAGAAACTAGGAAACCTGATTGCTCATCAAATGGCGGATCGCTTTTCCAGCGGTAATAATCCCTCAAAACAAAGTTGGTCACTCATTCCACGACTGTTTGTGGGGCACCGCTGCATGCAATTGGCTGCCGAGTTTCACCCACAAAATATACAGTCAATTCACTTTTTACAGTATGTTCTGTAAAGCACTTTCGGATGTCTAGAAGATATGATAAGGCGCTATATCAAATACAAGGATTATTATCTACTTGATTATATTATTGCTTGATTCATTAAATGGTAAATTTATTGTATTATTACTATTTCTTATCCAGTTTCCAAGAGTCAGACTTTTTGTAAAAGATGAATTTTAATGTTTAAATTGGATAATTTCTTTGAAGTTTAAATTAAATTTATATTCTCATTCTCATGATAAACGCACTGGTAAAGATAGGCTCAGATCATTCATGCATCAGACTAGCCAATATCTGATAGAAATAAAACATCTCTAACACTCTGGGGAGGAGATGCTTAGCTCTCTTTTGAGCCAGGATTGGTTGGGAGAGGCAGGTATCGCTATATTGCAAATCTTTAGCCAGTTTCCATTCATCAGGCACCAGAGTAGTTCTATCGAGGCGTTGCGGCATTTGAGAAAGATTGATAATAGAATCATAGAATCGTACAGCACAAAAAGAGGCCATTCGGCCCATCGAATTTGTGCCGGCTCTTTGAAAAGAGCAATGTAATGTCAGTCCCACTCCCCAGCCCTTTCCCCATAACCCTGCAAACCCGTCCTCCTCAAATACCCATCCTCCGCGTTTTTAAAAGTAGTTATCGAATTGGCCTCGACCACCCTTTCAGGCAATGCGTTCCAGATTCGAACAACTCGCTGCGTGAAAACATTTCTTCTCACCTCCCCTTTGCTTTTTTTAGAAACTATTTTAAATCTGTGACCTCGAGTCACCGACACACCCACCAGTGTAACAGTTTTTCCCTTTCTAACCTATCAAATACCCTCATGATTTTGAAGACTTCTATTAGGTCTCCTCGTAACCTTCTCTGCTCCAATGAGAATAATCCCAGCCTCTCGTGCCTTTCCTCATAATCAAGGTCCCTCATTCCTTGTAAATCTTCTCTGCACCCTTTCCAGTGCCTTAATATCCTTCCTATAGTGTGGTGACCAGAACTGGGCGCAGTATTCTAACTGAGGCCTAACCAGTGTTTTATATGGGTTAATCATAACCTCCTGACTCTTGTACTCTATGCCCCTATTTATTAAGCCTAGTATCCCATATGCCCTTTTTACAGCTTTATCTACCTGTCCTGCCACCTTCAAGGATTCATTTACCGGAATCACTGTTCTTTCATCCTCCCTTAAAATTTCAGCGCCTTGGGACGTCCTCCTGACGTGAAAGGCGTTTTATAAATGAAATCTTGTTGTTGTTCTTGTATTATCAACCTCCCCTCATTCTTTCTACCAAAATGCATTACCTCTCATTTCTTCACATTAAAAAGTTGACTCTGGTGCAGTGATTCCACTGTATTTACAGATGCTGCTTGCTTCACTGGCTATAGCTTTTTCACTATCAGGCATCAATATGTCATTTTGGATAATTTGCACTTCCCCCCCACCCATATTTACTTTCACACCCTCCCATAGTAATATTGTGCCTTAGTTGCAATTGCACCTTTTGCCACCAGATGGCAGAATTAACGGGTTCTCATGGTTTGCAATGGGTATGCACAGATTTTATTGGTGATGACCATTTCCTCCAAAAAAAAAAGTTGTTGGCTTAAACTAAATAAAAGCTTAGAATAAATCCATATTCTGCTCATCAGTAGTCATTGCAGTGTTCTTGGAGGCAACAATTGAGAAGGTTGTTGGGTCGTCCTCCAGCACACCCAGGGACCAGTGTAGTTAAATATTTTACGGTCACTAAATTGAATGCAATTTAGTATATTGTACCATCACTTAAAGTTGTTACTCAGCACTGTACTTTATGCAAATTAAATAGAGCAAAACAGTGTGAAAGTCATGTGTGAGAGCGCAGAGATGAGAGAAACTACACTTAGTGATTAAACAACTTGATTATTTGATCTTGCTTTTCACATCAAAAATTTTAAAGCAAGTTTCATTGAAGTACAGCAAATGAACAAATATTACAGCTAAAATGTGTCAGCGATGTCCCACAAAGAAAATTATTTCAGTGATGAAAAATGACTAATTATCTCAGAAGTTTTTTTGTGGGGTGAAGAAAGAGGGTGTATGTTTGGATGATAGGAATATTGAATGAAACACCAGTGGCGCAAAAATGCCTCCAAGCATTAACCTGAAAGACCATTTTGTCAATTTAAGATTGTAGAAACTTCTTAAATGCAATCTTGTATTGTTTGGTTTTCCAGTTCTCAAAAAGAACCAACTGAATTCAAGAATTTTATACAAATATATGCAGTCATAAATTTTAAGATAAATGGACTTGCAGGCTAAGAAGACTGCTTTGAAGTTTGGGCCTCAGATTCTTCACAATGAATAACAATAATCTCTGCATTTGATATATCACCTTATCATGTTATGTGGAGTCCTGTAGCTCAGTGGTTAGAGCACTCGCTTTGCAAGTGAGAAACCCGAGTTCAATTCCAGGCAGAGGGCGAAACCTTGGGCAAGTTTCCTTACTCCACACAGAGCCTAATAATAATCCCTCCAAAAAAAAACAATAATAAATTGGTCATTTTCAATCTACGACTGTTTGTGGGACATTGCTGTGCGCAATTGGCTGCCGCGTTCGCCCACAAATATAGTCAATTCACTTTACAGTGTGTTCTGTGAAGCGCTTTGGGACGTCCTCCCGACGTGAAAAGCGCTGTATCAAATGCAAGGATTATTATTATTATGATTATATTATGGTTATCATGTTATCTGTCCCCAACCTCTGGAATTCCATCCCCCAATCACTCTGCCTCGCCCCCTCCTTAGTCTCCCTTCAAGTCTCGCCTCAAAACCCTCCTCTTCGACCATACCATTGGTCACCCCCCTTCCCCTCCCCTCTCCCCGACCCCAGCTCGGGTCTGAAATGCTGTACTGTCCAGCGCCTTGGGAAACAATCTTGTTGTTGATTATTATAAAGCCACATTCATCTGAACAATATGCAAACATGGCCTTGTCTTTAACATCTCATCTGAATCTCTGACAATAGAATACATCCTCAGTACTGCATTGGAGCGTCAGCACCAAGTGACTAAAATGTAATTGTTGGTAAATTGTAACTGTAGTGTCTTATAAAACCAAAGGATTAATTTGGCTATTTGTGTAAATGTACTAGTGTAATGACTGTTTTGAGGTACATCTGGGTGAAAAGGATAGTTTTATGTTGGTTAATAGAATAATAATCCTTGCATTTGATATAGCACCTTAACACATCTTTGAGATGTCTCAAAGCGCTTCACAGAATAGACTGTCAATTGAATTGACTGCATACTTTGTGGACAGAACACGACAGCCAATCTACACAGCAGTGTCCCACAAACGTGGATTGAGTGACCAATTTATTATTTTTTTGGAAGGAATTATCATCCCCGGAAAAGTGATCTGCCAATCGATTAACAATTGGGTTCCTACTTACCGCTTGGTGAACAGAGGCGTGTGGAGTAAGAAAACTTGCCCAACCTTTCGCTCTGCCCACGAATCAAACCCAAGGTCGTTCCGCTTGTGAGGCAAGTGCTCTGACCACTGAGCTACAGAACTCCAAATTAGTGCAACCGTTATATTGGGGTCTCATTTAGTTTAAATTTAGTCATTTGTAACACACCAATCACAAGGTGCCCAGCTGGGTACCTGCAACCATGATACAATTATGAATCGCTATATATAAAGTGCATATTAGACACCAATTAGACAGATTGGATATGATCAGTTTATATTGCTGGTGTGGTTTGATATGCCCAATAGTCCTCTCATCTGTACCTAGTTTAATATTGGATTTTTTGTCTAAAATTCCTCTTCTGATGATCTTGAACGTCTGATAGAAATTCCCATCAGCAAAATCACTAAAATTCATGGCAGATATTTTCCCCCTTTTAATTGTATGTATGATCACTTCTTACACTATTGAAGAATACTTCATCAGAACAGCAGATAAGTCACGCCCAAATCCATCTTCACCTACTTATACACAGTCATCACCCATTAGTGAAATAATGTGAAATGCTTTAAGAGATGCATCAAATGCAAGATTCTCATCTTTTTCAGATTGTCCTTTTTCTTCAGTATTCTTTTTCCAACTCAGATCTCTACTGTTCCCAATTCTTAAAATTTTAACTCGGCTGCTGTGACCTTCAGTGATAAAATCTTTCAATTTTGCCTTAAGTGACTTTGAAGTCTCAGATTATTTAACCTTTTTGATTCTACAATAGCTGAAGATGAATAATTTATACTTTCCAAAATGTTAAACAGCTTTACAGTTTGTGCACTAACAGTTGTATAATACCATTTACCCATTCAAAAAATAAAAATGCAGCAACTTTCAGACTTGATAGTTTAATGTAATTAAAGCTTAAATTACCATAGATTTACAAGGCCCTGATTAGACAAAATAGAATTAGTGTGATAACAAACAAGATACAATATCATCAGCAAATATTTAAAGTAGTAGCTCAAAGAATAGTCAAGTTATTGGCTCAAAGATAGCTCAGGCCATTAATCACACAACCAAATGTTAGGCTTGCGTGCCATATCATGTCCATTCCTTAAAGCTGATTAGAAAATGTTTCTACTTAACAAAAATTATATAGTAAGCAAATATATTTTTTAAACTGTCGAGATGACACCACTTGGAATTTACCTAATGTTTGTTGCTTGGCAAAAAACTACCCAGAGTTAAGTGCAATCTTCAGTCTTACAAAGGTCTTACTAAATTCAGCATGAACCCCAGAAATTAATAATGTAAGAGTACACATTTGAAGTATTGCGAGGTAATTAAAATGCGACCATTATAAGAGAGCATATTGTTCAGTCAGTCGGCATTTCTCATTGCTGGTAATAAGGCTGCTGAGGCTGAGGGTATCCTGGCAGCTGAGGATGAGGGTATCCTGGCTGCTGAGGTGGCTGTGGTCCTTGGTAAGGTTGTTGTCCAGGCGGCTGGAACATGACTGGCATACCGTACTGACTATAAGCGTATGGATTGTACGCCATCGGCATTTGGTAAAACCTGAAAAAGTAAATTTATTTTTAATAAAAAACATGTTCAATTCTAGGTTAAGCAAAGGTGGGGGGGGGGGTGGGGGGGGAAGGGGGCGGAAAGAGTTGACAAAGGGTAAGACAAATGTAGCTCTCTGTTCATTCCCAAAATATGGACTCATTGGAGACAGAAAGCAAGATTTCCTCAAGTCCCACAATGTTTTAGCCACAGTTGCACACATTGCATTTCAGTTGTTTTCTGAAGCAGATGTGCTAAGAATAACCTTGTAATCTGTCAAAGTCTGAACATAATTGTCTAATGCAAAACATTAACAAAAATACCCAATCATCGATACAGATTGAAGATGTGTTAATATTGTGACTACTCAGGAAGCTCGAGTTCTTGTAAAGGGACATTTGCACTCCTTCAGACTGTACATAGTATGCTGCGTTTTTGAATACTAATCAATCAATTGCAACTTGCAAACCAAACACAATCAGACAATAACGAGCAACAACTTGCACTTATATAGTGCCACATATTGGGAGGATGTCCCAAGGCACTGACCAGTAAAGATCTTGCACCTGAGCTGGGGCTTGGTGTCAAGAGGGGTGGAGGGCAAAAGGGTGGAGGTGGGAGGATGACTGAAGGCCTGGTCAGAGGAAGGTCATGAGAAGGACCTTGAAGGAGGCAAGGGAGGGCAGGGGTGAGGCGGAGGGTCAAAGAACTGATCTTGATGGGCCATCTTTGTGCTGGCTGAGTCATGTCACAGTAGCAAAGCAACATTGTCCTGAAGGTAAACGAAAGTCAGTTCTCACGAAAGGTTATCGACCTGAAACGATAACTAACTTTCTTCTCTCCATAGATGCTGCCTGACCTGCGGAGTGTTCCCTGTGACTTATGTTTTTATTTATTATTATTATTGTTCTGAAGTTGGCTACTACTGAACATCACATTAAGCTGTTTATTAGGCACTGTGGTTCTCCCCTGCCCCAACACCTTAATACAAGCTTTTGGTTTGTTTGTTCAAGCTTATTAATTCGGTACTTTCAGCTAGAACAATTCACCATGGAACAACTTGCTGGCACTGTAGCATAATTTTGTCTCTGTAGGCACAATCAGATGAACTGACCACAAAATAATGACACGGATATCCATACTCTCTTTGGGAATCTTGTTACTATGTATCAGAATTAGGAAATCATGCATCTTTTTGGGCTGTACCTTTTAGGATAAAATGTTTTTAATGTATGACAGAACTGCATTCCCTAGAGTAGAAGAAATGCTTACATCACAAACTATTGGGTTAGGATGAAAATTAAAATCAACCGTGTGCTAGCAATTATTCACAACAATGTGTCAAGAGTAAAATAGTTCTTTCCTTTATGGAGAGAAGAGGAGAGGGAAGGAGTCTTCTTGTGCAATGTAGTTAAGGAGCAATATTGTACGACATTAAGGTGCAGAAACCCTTGCTGTCTTTTTAGGTGAGGGTGGACTATGGTTTGGCAGGAAAAACTACCTTAAAAAGATGAACAGCAATTCTCCCCCCACCCAAATACACACAGGGTACAGTATGGTAGTGAGTAGGACAGTAGGGAATTACGAAGAACAGCGCAGAGTTGAATGGGCTGAACGGTTTCTTTCTCTACTGTTGCATTGCAAGAAAAAAAACTTTCTTCACTTAAAAAGATCAGATTCTGAATTCATTTTCCCTTCCTACATCCCCTGCCTCAATTTGAATAACAAAATGTTGTCCTATTAACAATGCAGTCTCAGTGAAATAACTTACCCAGGATAGCCTTGATATGTGGGGTATGGAGGTCCTTGAGCCTGTGTTGGCATAACAGAGGGCCCAACAGCTGGAGGTGCAGTACTGGGTCCTGGGGCAGAAGCAGAATAAGGTGCAGCTACAGTTGAAGGGACAACAGGAGGGGGTGGGCGAGCAGGAGGTGTAGGTTTGGGTTGCTGGAAAAAAATAAAACATTTTAATGTGTGAAAATAGGTTCAATACAAAGCTATTAGAATGACCCATCGGACTCTGATCAAAATGCAATTTTCTAACAAACTGGTGTGACAATGCCACAATTGTGAAGTTCATTCAGTGGACAAGCTATTACTGCAAGTCATAATCTTCCGCTCACCCAACACCATTTGAACATTGGCCCTCACCCACCTGATAGGCAATTGCATTTCTGACAAGATATGATTTATAAACACAACCATTAATATATCAGAGGCCTGAGAAACTGATAAAATTCACTATTTTAGCTCAGTATTATTGTTGGAAAACATTAATTCATTTGGTAATGCTGCACTACATTAAATAGGAATTTTGAATAACCTCAACATCCGTATGACCATGAACTAACAAACATATGCATTAGATCACAAGAGGTTCAGACCATCAATAAAGCTTTCCTGAATATCAAATCTACTGCTTCTCAATACAGTTACGTAAACAAATCCTGGCCTTTTTCCTACCCAAAGGGTAAAGAACGACTGGAACACGTTGCCAGGAATGGTAGCTGAGTCCAGGACACTGGGCTCGCTTGTAAAACAGCTCAGTGATGTGATGGGCTTTCTTCACCGAAACCAATCTTGTGATTTGGGGGTAAAGTTTGAGGATAAGCAAGGTTGCATGGCATATCCAAATACTTTTACTAGAATGTTCGCTACATAAATAGTAGCACTGTATAGAACTCATTATTTTTTACACAATTAACTCAAGAGTTGCAAAATGTATTTGCATTCAATTTATGGAAACAATTTTAAGAAAATCCATTAATTTAATGAAAATTAACGTTTACCAATAAGTGCTTTTCCCACACTGAGTAAAATCCAGCAGAATGAGCCTGGATAAAGGTGACTCACTGTGATGTTTGACTGAATGCAGTTGTTGGTGAACATTCCACAACACAGTGTAAGAGATAATCCAAGATTGAAATACTTCTGTTGCCAGATTGCTTATATCACAAGTATCACTTGTCTTTAATTATGTCATATCATCCAGTTAATCAAAACATTAATGTAACCTGGAAAACTAAACAAGTAAAAACAAAAAGCTAGTTATGGAATTTAAACTGTTAAGATCAGAGGTCATTCATGAAAATTTGTGTTGGGACTAGTTGAGTTAATAGTACACTCAGGATTCAGAGTCCGAAGGTTGTAGGTTCAAGCACCAAGTTGGGACTTTGAAGACATAGTCATAGGCTGACCCTTCAGTACACTCCTGGGGGAGAGCTACAGAGTTGCCTTCGGATGAGATGTTAAACCGAAGCCCTGACTGCTCGTTCAGATGGGTGTTGAAGATCCCAAGGCACTATTTGAAAAGAGAAAGGGGTTTCTCATAGTGTCCTGGTCAACAATCCCCCAGAAAAAGTTGGTCATTCACTTCATGGCTGTTTGTGGGACACTGCTGTATGCACATTGACATCTGTGTTCACCTAGAATTACTAAACTTTTTCAGTAAATTCTGTGAAACTTGTTGACGTTTTGAAACTCATGTCAAATGCAAGGGCTATGATTTATAATATTTAAAATTAAATTTGTAATAATCATTGCATTTTTTAATACCGTCCTCTATCACATTAAATGTTTTCTTCAAAATGCATTTTTCTGTAAAGTGCAGGGAAAGTTGGTGTAGGTGAACAAAATAGCCATAAAGTTGATGACCAATTTTTTTCGTCTGTTCTAATCGACTTACAAATACCGTTCTGGGTGCTGGAGTGGGCACAGGTGTTGTAGTTCCTCCAGTCATGGTATTGCTAGTTTGGTATGCAGGCACTGCTGGGATATTCGGAGCACTAGGTTGCTTCGCTATGCTCAGCTGCAAATCCCTATAAAACAAGAAACATCAGAAACAATCTGAATAAAATACAAGATACTATTTGTTTTAATAACATAGTAAGTGATGTCAAGAGAAATGTATAATTGAATTTCAAGCATTATAAATTGCATTATAAATCCAAGTCATCATCAGTGGTAAAACTGGGCAGTATCAATACAATACTAATCCACATTTATATACAATAACAACTTGCATTCATATAGCTCCTTTCAGGCCGAAAGGATTTCCCAAAATACTTGAAACATGATCAGAGCACATTGCATTTGAAGAATTAGATCATTCCTAGACAAAGTAACCTGTCTTTCATTGCTATATCCCACATGCTATTAGAATGAGGTAATAATGCCACGTACAAGTGGGATCCACTGTACAGAATGGAAGAATTAAAGAGCAGGTAAGCAATGTACAAGATTGCAGCTTGGAATTTTTAATTCATAAGCCACCAGATCCATATTCAATATAAACAAATGAAAATCCCATAGACCAAAAATATGGCTGAGTCACTATTGTTGACCACTAAAAATATGTTCAGCTCACTGAAACTATGGTGTGACAAATAAGACTTTTCACTTAGGAAATGTTGCACAGGAGGCCTGGGACATTTACGCCAAATTGAACTCCACCGAAGTTTGAACTCTTCTGGAATTACTGCAAGCAGTTTATTCCAAATTGGATGTTTAGTGCCAATGAATAACGCCAGCAATACTCATTACAGTTGGAAAACATTATTTAATGGTAGTAAAACATGAGGACGAGATAATAATAGGCATTCTTCAATACATGGAGTAAAAATAAACAACAATGGAAATATGGTGCAGCCCTGTTCCAACTTGCTTCTCTATAGCACAAAGTGATAACGCAGTTGCAGTGTAAACTACATGCATTTGCAGAAAGTGATGTCGGTGGATATGACGATCGGGAAGTTTTCCATTTTAGCATCCAGTGCTGAAATAATAATGACTTCCAAGTCATCAGGTCTCACCCGATCATTTACTGATTTGTGTATAGACAACCTAGAGTAAATGATGTCGGCAGTGACCCGATGACCTGGAAGTTGACTTTTTTTTAAAAAAAAAGAGCAGGAACCAGCTATCATCCAAGGAGCGACTGAGTACACAGTGAAACTGACTACTTTGTTGGGATTTTAAGGATCCCAACAACAGCAACAACAAGGCTCCAGTACAGTTTTGACAGTAATTTAACCTGTAATATCATAATACTAAAATAATATACTTACTTTAGCAGTTCATCCCTTTCAGTTTTACGAGCAAACACAATGTCTGTACATTTGTTTTGTAATTTCAGAAGGATTTCTGTCAGCTCATTGTAGAACTATCAAAAAGAAACAGTATTAGGCGGATGATAATCAACCACACAACTTTTATCCAGATTTAACATTTTCTTAGTTACCTACAATTGCTCCTCATATCCTGATGTTGCTTTTAAATAATCTTTTCAGATAGTTTAAAATGCCTCTCCTGTGGCTTTTATGTCTTGAGATGGTGATTGCTCTGCTTTGCAAGGATTTTTTAAAATTCCTACAAACTATAACTTATCTTTAAACTTCCAATTTTTAACTTTTTAAAAAATAATTTTTAGCCAGTATCTGGCAAAAAATAAAAGCTCCATTCAAAATATTCCTGATTCACGTGACTGTATATGTCGTTAATCAAAAAAGTGTATTTCTAAAAATGTTAAAAAGTAAAGGGAACACAAGTGTAAGATAGTGACTAGGGGATCCAAAAGTGAATTTAGGAGGAACTATTTCACACCGAGGATAGTGAGATTGTGGAACTGAGGCAGTGCTTGAATCAGATGTATTCAAGGAGCTGGACCTTCACCTGAGGGAAAGGGGAATAGAAGGGCACGGGAGGGAGTAAGGAATAGGCAGAAACTTGTGTAGAGTATAACTACAGTCACAGACTGGTATATTTTCGTGCTGTACATTCTTTGTAAATAAACGTTGAAGGCAAGCAACAAAGGAAAAAATATGTCCATTTCAAGATGTTGCATTTGCCAAAGAATCTAACACAAAAAAGAAATATGAAACTTCTACATATAGAGTGATAAAGATTGAGTTTTACTTAAGGTTTGATTAAAAAAACTACCACATCAAAACATCTGAATTGAAAATGATGGAAGTATCATAACAATCTTAAGATCCGTTCATCCTTAAAGCTACATTGCAACTATGTATTTAAATGGTTGTGAACAATGTCAATTTAAATAGACAGCAACATTTTACAGGAAATAAAATATTGCTCAAAGTATTACAAATGTGTTAAATAAAATGAAGTATCATCAAGAAGAAAACAACTCACTTTTGTTCCTTCTTTCAAATTAGCAACAAGCTCAATATACTGATCATGGGCCGCTGCTAATTTCTTAAGCATTTCTTCCCGTGAATCAGCTTCTGCATTGGACTGCTTTGACTTGGAAAATTCTTCATGATTCATCTGAGAAAAACAGAAATTCAGAGTTGAAATTACATCACCTCCAAGTTCAAATTCACAATCGAGTAATTCAATCTCGATCAAGGGAACATAGTTTCACTAACAAAAGCTGCCTGCAACATGAACACTTGGGACGTCCTCCCAACGTGAAAGGCGCTATACAAATGTAATCTTGTTGCTGTTGTTAATAATTTGACTCCCACAAACAAATGCTGAACAATCCTCAATCAAAAGCAGAAGCAAAACAAACATTATATTAAGCAGGAAGCAGAAAGAAAATGGTGTAAATGTTTACTAATTTGTTCAGAATGCAAGAGTGAGAGAGAAAGATAGATTAACATTTCTGGTGTGGCAAATATTTTGGGTTTGGCACTTCAGAATGTTGGTCATGTTAACTCATTTAGAAAACGGGAATGTTGCTGGTGAAAAGCACACAGGATTGAAAATTAGTTTGAAAATTTGGTACAAGCAAAATATTGTATTTTTGCAAGAGTTCAGATTGCTTTAAGTCTACTTTGAATTAATAAACATATATTGGTGAGAGCGGCTCCAAGCTTAGCCCAGACATATTGACCACAGTAAAATAAACTTGTAACTGAGGCCTTATGTCAAAGATAACTCACAATGACCAAACCTCTGTCAATGTAGCTTCACATAGTCAATGAGAGTAAGTTCTTCGCAGGTAAGACCCTCTCATTGATTTTCATTCTTTGTGGGCAAGTGTCTGAACTCTGTTTGGCAATCCCAGTACTGTGACTTCAAAACCACAGGAAAGTGAACCAAAATCCCACTACTCACATGTTGCTACATTTCTCCAAAACATTGCGCAACTGCCCTATTCTGAAGTGTAAATTACAACCACACAGATGTACTTGACAGTTTGATGTACACAAATTCAGAAAATTAATTTCAGGTTTTCATTTCCATCTGAAAGTAAAATTATGTAGCTGCAATGCAAGACATCACATTAATTCATCTGAATATGAATTATTTATATGCCAATGCATAGATTATATTATTTGCTGCACCATGGCTTTGCTTTTTATTCAGAAATGTTACAAATCATACAATATTAAGTTCACATTACACTACTGGCAAGTTTTTTTTAGTAAAAAAATCTTCAATTTCAAAGACATTTCTTCCATCTATTTACAATTAAAAATTTGACCTCCTCAAAAATCACTTGAATCCTCAGGGTAATATCTAAGCAGAGCAGTAATTTGCACTGGCAAGTTGCTTTTCTCATTGCATTATTAAATTCATTACTTCAATTTAATTTGCAACTATAAAATAAGCCTCAATTCACACAGATTAATTTATATGTTTGAGACAGATGAGCGATGTTTCTGGTTAAATGAAGACATTGGCTAGGAGATTGAAATGCATTTTCAGACAGACACAAGTGGGAAACCTAAGATGGGATATCAGTCAGGTATAATGAAATTGAATTCGGAGAACATCCAGGATTCCAAGAATATGAGAGTTGAAATTTTGAGGTTAGGTTTAAAAAAACATATCCACAAAAACAAACACATAATCTTTTTACATCTTGATGAATACAAAAAACTTTGTATAAAAATAGTTAGAAATGGATCACGTGAAGCCCTGAATGAAACCAAATAATTTCTGCAAAGGATCATTGAGTGGGCAAACAAACACCAAAGGGATGGAGCTAGATCAACAAAGGGGCAGGTTTTTGATCTTCAGTTCCTGTTTTTAGACCATACTGAGTCAGCTGCCCATTGCCCTGAGAAAACAGTTATAAATTACTATTTACCTGAATACTTGATAGCAACTCCTCCTGGCTTTTCAGATTTTTTTGCACTTTCTGAGTATAAGTTCCATAAATTCGATCAAGTTCAGTCACTGAGATAACCTCTTCATTAATAGCCCCATCCTGAGCCAATGCAGTCAAAAAGGCACTGGACATGTCAAACTGCTGTAGCTTGATATCATTCTCTAAAGTTTCCCTTTCCTTCTTTGTTTCATCCAAAGAAGCAAGAAGTGACTTCAGGATTGTAATAACCTATAGCAAGAACATCACAAAGGAAAAATGTCAGAACATGGCTGCAAAAAAGGATTGGACACTTTTACTCTATAAAATAGAAAACGTAAGAGTTATACAGAAACAAGTACTGTACAGTTTGATTTTATCAAGTTTGTTTTCACAGAAAAAATCTGAACGACATTTATTGCTTCCTCAGAAAACACCATAATTCTACATCAATAGTAGAAGTTCTAAACAAAGATACCAGCATCACTGAAATAGGCCAATTTTATTTGTTAAGAGTTAACACCGACTATACTAGATCTCGCCATACCAAATCAGGCACTGCACAAATTCAATAACCTGCTTAAATAAGAATGAAGACTGGTCCAGTGGTATTAACATTTATGTAATAGAATTCTTTTAAAAAAAGTTTTTCCTTTAAAATGATCTGAGTGGGATACAAGTTCTAGTGTCTCAATTATTTGCTTCAACTGTGAAGGCAGTTCTGCAAATAAATCTAGATCAGCACCAACCTGCACTCTTGCTGATTATTTACCATTTTAAATATCATTCACAAAGTGAGTTTTCAGCACCAAATGAATTCCATACAATAGTGCATTTGCATTACACAAAATAGGAATGTGGTGATCCCTCAGTTCAAGTGCCAAGACCCATCTTACCTCAGTCCCTTGTAGGGAGTTTGCAGGATTGCCAGATGGTATGGCAGCATTTAACTCATTTTCAGGATGACAGAGAAGGGCAATAGCATCACGATGAGTGGAATAACGCTCTCGGACCACATTATCTGCTTGTCCAGCTTTGTCCAGAAAGTTTCTGAAATTTCCTCCCTCTTGGGTGGGAAGAAGGAAAATTACAATATTAATTAAAAGATCTTAATTTTTAATTGAACAGATGGTGGACACTTATCTGGTCATTTAGTTATATGTAATAGTATAATAATAACCCTTACATTTGATATAGCACCTTTCACATGTGGAGAGGGCAACATCTCAAAGCATTTCACATGATTTACTGTGGAGGATTGTGTGTCTGTGGGCAAACCATTATATATCTATTTTGTTTTAAAAATATTTTATAGAATATAACTTACTCATAAATACAAGTGAAAAATAGCATTCATTAAAAGATTCTACCACAGTCTAACATCCAATTTATAGTAAACAATGACTTGCAGGATCCTTCTCTCATCTGTATTTGAAGTTTACTGTGCAGTTTTCTCTATAAATTGGTGATACCAAGTGTAGAATGGGAGACCACTTTGATGAACATTTCAGTTATAATATTAGTAATCTGTGAACATGACTCTGACCCTTCTTGTGGCTTGCCTCTTAACCTCCTTTTATAATAATAATCCTTGCATTTGATATAGCACTTTTCACTTCGGGAGGACGTCCCAAAGCGCTTCATAGAACACACTGTAAAGTGAATTGACTGTATATTTGTGGGCGAACGCGGCAGCCAATTGCGCACAGCAATGTCCCACAAACAGTCGTAGATTGAAAATGACAAATTTATTATTGTTTTTGGAGGGATTATTATTAGGCGTGTGGAGTAAGGAAACTTGCCCAAGGCTTCGCCCTGCCTGGAAATGAACTCAGGTCTCTCGCTTGCAAAGCGAGTGCTCTAACCACTGAGCTACAGGACTCCACCCACTGAGCTACAGGACAGACAGGACCTTGGTTTTACATCTCATTCGTAGGGCAGCACCTCTGAGAATGCAGTTCACCTCCGAGAATGCAGTTCACCTCCCTACATTGCATTGGGAATGTCAGCCGAGACTGTATTAATGCAAGTTGTTGTTATTGTTGAGTTCAAAGTCCTGACAGTGGGTTTCAACCCATAACCTTCTGATACAGAGGCAAGAGTATCATCAACTGAGTCACTCTGACACCCTTTTTAAGAGTTTAAACTTGGATACAGAATGCAACTTTACATTTTGTTCCCCAACATACCTGTTCGCAGAGATTTATACAGCTCATTTGAAGGTGTCCTCTGCCAGCGTTGCTGAAATTTCGCTCTAAGGTCATTATCTGAAGATTCCTCTTCATCCAGTATTTTCATTGACTAAGCATAAAATATTCAATATATAAATTTTAAACTTGCAGTATGACAAATGCAAATTCAAAACAGGACTTAAAACGTGTTCAAAACAATTTTTTTCCTGTAGAAACCTGGTTGCCTTAAGGAAAACAACAGGCTTGCTGATACTCTTGTAGATACAACATGCAGATTTCAACAAAATCTAAAAAAATGTGAGGGGCGGGAGGGGAGAGAAGAAAAGAGAAAGTTACCTCCAACAAAATCTCCCGATTTCGCTGCAGAAGTTCTGGAAGGTCTTTTATCAACTGGTCTACTGTCTCCAGGCCACCCTGCTGAATGACAGCTTTGGATTTCTCCAGAATGGACTGAGGAATACTGTGCCCAGAAACATCTTCGAGCGCAGCAGGTAGGTTCAAGGAGGCCAGAACACTGAGAAAAATGGAGAATAAATCAACTATTACATATCCATTATATTGACCTCCTACCCTACTACACATCTCATCTTAGATAGATATGGATGACTCATGAATCAAATATTCTCATTTCTGCCAATTTATTTTCAATTAAATTGGTTTTAGAAGTGAGAGAACATTTCTATCGCTCCCCCTGCAGCTCAGCAAAGATTCATGCAGCTGCACTGAGGTGACAGGGGGATGTGTATAAAGCCCTGGTTAAATCCTTTTTATTTTCATAATTTTAATATATAATAATAATATTTGCATTTGGTATAGTGCCTGATCACGTCACTGAGACATCTCAAAGCACTTCACAGAATATATTTTAAAAGTGGATTTTGTGGGCGAGACATGGATTTCTTGCTTTGAATTTTTCAGGAATTTTATTACATTAATGTAATAAAAAAAATTTAAAGGATAAAACGTCATTAATACTCCATTGACTCAGTCATTCACCTCCAATAGAAGATCAATGAGAGAATGGCAAAGGGAGCGAGATCACAGGGCAATCGGAGATGATGTTGTTGCCCGCCGCTGTGACCCACCAACTCCGTGTTACGGTGGACCTTGCCATGTGGATGGAAGGTGAGTGAGCCAATGTCAGGCTCTACTGCGGCTTAAAGAGGAGTGGGGTGTCGGAGCAGGGCGAGTGGCTTCAGGAAGGCTTGGCAGGTGTCGCAAGCACTTGGGTGCTATTTTTCCCCAATTGAAGCTGTTTTATAAGTTTTGGTTTATTTCATATTTACAAAAAAAACATGGGCTCTATTGCGCGTACACACACTTTTTTCAAGGGAAGGAAACAGGAAATAAATAACAAAATAGCAATAGCAGCATTGTCCTCTCATTTGACTATTTATCTCGGTGGGGGTGGAAGAATCAGAAAGGGGCTAAATGCAGTCTTACGGACACAAAATATACAGTCAAATTCACTTTACAGTGTATTCGGTGAAAGGCCTGAAGATGTCTCAACACGTGATAAAGCACTATATCAAATGCAAGGAGTACTATTGTTGAAAGTTTAATCATACATATAAAATCAATGGGCTTTTATTTTTACACATCTTATAAGTAAAAAAAGTTTGAAACTGCATTACATTACTAAATTTACAGCTTGACGTTTTTATCAAGGGTTCTTAATTACTTAATCAGTATTTACACGGGAGGTAAAATGCTATCATTTGGAAACCCCATCAAAAGTCCTGTCCTTTTAGAAGATTACATTCAGCTACGATAATGTTGAACATGGCTAGAGGGAATAGATTTAACAAGTTAAACATATTTCTAAACCAGTGTTAGGTTTATAAACATGGTTGCTTCCTCCTATGGCCTTATGGCTACTAAGTCCCAAGTATAGAAAATGAGCAAAATAAGGTAAAAACAAAGGAAATCAGACTTTTTTTTAATTTCAGGGTACAGTACATGTCTGTTTGTGAAAAACATGAGCTGATTCAGATATTAACTTCTGAAACCGTCTGAGAAAGATTGTCACATACCCATTGGCCAGGTTATTGGCTTCTCTCATCTGTCCAATGACTCTGTTCACCAAGTCAGCCTTTCTCTGATTGTACATACTCAGAGCTTGTTGCACTGCCAAAGGAACCATCTTCTCAAACAGATCTACAAGTGTCAATTTGACATGGTTAAGAAAACAAATCATTAAAAAGTTTAGTAACAGCCAACATCCTTTCATTTTTTAGCTGCTATTACTTTGCATTATCTCCCCCTACCCCATGACAATCACCAAAAATTCTGTATTAAGATTTTTTAATATAAAATTATAATTAAATATTGTGAAAATTAGTACTCATAAAAAAGTTTTGAGACTGTCCACTCCCACAGAGAAACTGTGAAAGGCAATGCTGAAAACAGGGACCCCCCAAAACTCAGCAGCACCACCAGCAGGAACCTTGCAGTGATTTTTGTACCCGAGATCAAACAAAAATAGAGCTTAGTGGAGCAACTAACTAAGTTGCCTCAAGCCCTTCTTGAGTCACAGTTTGTACAAGTCTGAAGTATAGCAACTCACTTCAAAAACTTCTTAGATCAATCCTGCCTACAACCAGGCTTCCTGGTAATCTATTCCAACTGTTGATTACCTTCTACTTAAAGTAAAATTGCCCTTTACCACTCTGAACCTCTGAAATACTAATCCTATCCTGGTTGAATTGGCCACAAGGCGACATATTTGGCAACGGACTGTCAGAATCGAGTCAACCTTCTGTGGCGGTCTCTGTAGTCCATTTCCTAATCCTGGTGGATCTGCACTGTTGATGACAGCACAGCCAGTCTGGCTCATCGGCAGACAAGTCACTCAGGGCAGGGAATCCTTCCACTTAGCTACCGTTAACCCTGGAAGCCAAAGCCTTAACAGGTAGAACAGTCCTAGCTGGACAAGCAGCAGGAAAGCTTGCCAGACAGCGATAGATGGCAAACAGTTTTAGCATGTTAGACTCCAACAGTACCCCACTCTGGGGTCCCCAAGCCTTGGCCTTTGCCAACTTACACCTAATATGGAATCAGGAAGAGAGTGCACATACAATTCCAACAATCTATCTCTGGAATTTCGATGTGTAGGTGAGATGCATGCAATTCTCAGCTTGATTTGGATACCCTTAACATGGTGATGAGTTAGATACCTGGCTGATTTTCCATTCTTAAATTGGAAAAATCCACATTTTAAGAATTGTAAATGTGCATCTGTGTATCAGTTCTTTTCAGCGGGACAAGGTGTTCATGATGGGCAATTTTAGGGCAACAGTTTTTTTGTGATACACAAGGCAACAGCTGGATCAAGTACCAGAAAGGATGGTAGAGACCAGGACAATTAACTTATTTTAAAAAGTTTCAAGATTTAATGAGAAGGTAGTACGATGGATATTCTGGAAGCATGAGATGAAATAGGCCAAAGTGACTTTTTTCCAATCTCTTGTGATCTCACTTCTCAATCCACCTGAGAGATTTGCCAGTATCCTAATTCAGGAGGAAAAACGCGTGTTCCAAATAAAAAAATTATACACACAAAATTCTGAGGGAGGCTGCAGCCAAGAAAACCATTCCTCAAAAAGGAGCTTGCAGTTGTTCCAACAGCTGAAAAGTAACGGTTCTCATGTTCTTACCAGTGAATTTCTGACTCAAGGGCACATTGACTGGAGTAGGCTTCACCAGTGTGGCCTTGCCAATTGGAGTCAAATCTTTCAGGTCAGGAACACGATCATGGTAAATGAAATCATTGTCTTTCTTTGCAGCTGTCAATGCTCGAGAGATTTTGTCAGACAGATCCTTCACATTGATATACTCATCGTAGCGAGAAGCTACAGTCTTTATCAATTCGGTTGCATGCTGTAGATTCAATTAAAAAAGGTCAGGTGTATTCAACTACTGTATTTTCAAACAAACAATGACATTAGAAGGACGTCCCAAGGTGCTAGACAGTCAGGGATTTGCACCCAAGCTGGGGGTGCGATCAGGAGGAGTGGAGGGCTGGAAGAGTAAGGGTAGGAGTGACCGAAGGCGCAGTTAAAAGAGGTGTCTTGAGATGGACCCTGAAGGGGGCAAGGCCAAGGGACTGTGGGATAGAGTTCCAAAGGGTGAGGGTAAAGAAGATGAAGGCATGACCGCCGATGGTGGGGCGGGTTCCGTGGGATACGTGAAGCAGGCTGTAGTCTACTGAGCGGAGAGAGCTGAGCGGTCACAGAGGTAGAGAGGAATGAGACCATAGAGGGCTTTAAAGACAAGGATGAGGATTTTGAACTCTATCCTCTGGGGGAAATGGGAAGCCAGTTGAGAAGGTTGAGGATTTAGGTGGTTGGGTCATGACCAATCAGCCAGAAATCAAGTAGTTTTAATACATCCCAATTGCTGCTCAATATTCTTCTCTGGTCTGATGAGCAAAATAATTTTTTTAAATTTAAATACAGACTTATAGTATAATTTTACAAACTATTGATCAACCATATTCAATTTGATTTGAAGAATTTAATGTGAGGGAATTTTGTAAAAGTCTCTGAAATCATTTTGTGAAGACCATAGGATTCACCCCAGTGAAAGTGGTGGAACATCCAACCAAATATTTCTAAGAACTTCCCAAGATGAGGGACCAGGTTTGAGATTGAAGTGTATTTCAAAATGTGACAGGGAGCAAATAACAAAACAGGGAACTTGGAAAATACGAGATAGCTCTAAAAGAGGTGCTAGCACCAGCTCAATGGGCTGAATAACCTTCTCCTATTCTTCAATTTCTATGATTGATTTGTCGGTTCAATTTAATTTTCTTGACCGTCAATAGGAGTTTATTTAATTTTCCTTAGATTTCTTGCGATCTTTTCATTTACAAAAATGGACAACTTTTAGGTTATATGTCACTTCCCGTACACCACACTGCAACCATAGTAATCTTATTATCTGGAAGTGGGTCACAATAAAACAGTTTTTTAAAAAAAGTTTAGCAATGGGAATTCATTTTTTCTCAATATGGAGAAAATTATCAATACTTAACAAATACAGATTTTTACCAGTGGCAGGTAGTGGCAAACTCAGCGCCTTGGGACGTCCTCCCGACATGAAAGGCGCTCTATAAATGTAATTTTATATTGTGTTGTATTATTCGTTGAAGATTTACCTGTAATCTTGCAATTTCCTCACCAAATTTCTTCTGTTGCTTTGTCAGAACTGACTGATGGTACGCTGCGTTGGCCTGCATGATGCAATGTTTTGCAGCAAGAATAGGCAGCACTTCCTGGAAATAAAAATACTAACCAGGCGAAAGTCCAACCACAAACAACCACAGACGCAAGCAGGAAAGCAGGAAAGGGAAGAAAGGAAGTTAGAATTGTATTAATATTTTTAGAAAGGTGGATAGGTTAATCATTATAAGATGAGTAGTCAAAGGGAAAAGTATGGTTTCAGGTTTTGGGAGAAGATTAAATCCTTCAAAACGCAGCCCAACACAAAGCTCGCCATAAATGGGACTCAACTAACAAGAATCAAATATTCAAACCCAGTAAATTTCTTCATCGAAAATAATTTCCCAAAGTAGACTGCATAATCTTCACAGTAATTTGAACATTACTTCCGCAGATTGGATTAGATAGTTTGGAAGTAAAAGGTTAGTCGATGAGGTTCCCTCAGAGGATAGAATTCAAAATCTTCGGCCTCACTTTCAAGGCCCTACACAGCCTTGCTCACTCCTACCTCTCTGACCTCCTAACCCCCTATCAACCTGTCTGCTCCCTTCGTTCAGCAGGCTCCGGTCCATTCCATGTCTCCCACCCGACCCACCTTACCATCAGCAGCCGGGCTTTCAGCCTCTCTGCCCGCACCCTTTGGAACTCCATTCCACAATCCTTTCGCCTTGCTCCCTCTCTTGCCTCCTTCAAGTTACGACTCATGACCCTCCTTTACAACTGTGCCTTCAGCCGCCCTCCTACATCTCTGCCCTCCCTCATCCCAACCCTGAAACCCCCATGCCCTGGTCCTGATCCCCGACTGTTCAGAGCTTGGGACATCCTCCCAATGTGAAAGGCACTTTACAAATGTAATTTTACTTTTGATGTTAATTCTTTGGCATGCAAAGACTCAGGAAGTCAAAAGAGCTTGAAACAAGATGCAGGTTTATGTTAATAAATAACTTTGAACCAACTGCAACTTTGACCTTTATGGTTCTCAGTCACTGAGAAGAGAGAGAGAAATAAATGGGAAGGAAACATTTCAAAGGTTTTCCATCAAAATATATCTGTAGTTATACATTAAAAAGAAATGAAGTTTCATTGTATTCTCAACGTTTCAGAACTGAACATTTCTACACATTTAACAATTTGCTTTACTGCCAATGACAAAGCATAGTGGATTAAATTTACAACATTACTACATTCCTTAAATGTCAGTAATGATTTTCCGAAGTTTCATAATCCATTCTTCAGACTGGTTATAAATTTGATAATTGCATACCCCATAAGAGGTAATGTAAATTAATTCTCATAAGGATTATTATTATTTATTATTATGCATTTTCAAGCCATAATGTGAGATCTCTTCAAACCAAACAAGTTCCTCAGTTACAGCCGTATGCTGATTTCAGAACAACAGGCATGTCTTCTTCAGATTACAAATTCACTCAAAAATCTACAGTGCAGACAGATGTCATTTGGCTCATCGCAAAGTAAGGAGATGGCTTCAATTCCACGGCCCTGCCATATCCCATACCCCAGAAGGCCCTCTTTCATGCCTGTCTATTTCTAACTTGAAGCTACAATGGCCTCCTGCTTGTCCCTTACACCCTCTACTCCACCATTGGAGGTCGCGCAATCAGCCACTATACCCCGAAACTCTGGAACATTCGATTCAACCCCTCCGCCTTGCACCCCCTCTCCCTTTTTTTCAAGTCCCGCCTGAAAACCTTACTTTTCAATTGTGCTTACAGTCACCTCCTCCCACCAGCTCGGAGTCAGGCGCCGCCACTGTTAAGTGCTCTGAGACGCTACCCTGCATGGAGTGCACTATATAAGTGCAAGTTGTTGTTGTAAAATGTAAAAACATGTGAAACAAACCTAAAACTGATGTACATTCGGCCACTACTAGTAATCACATTTACAAAATATTTCCCTTTTATCAGGAATTTATTTTTTAAAAGAATGATATATTTTGTCCTAAAAAGTGATGGAGAATGGAACAGGAAAATGGGAGACTTCACTGTTTAGGGATTCCAAAATCAGGGGGAAGAGAGAGAGCGCATAAAATGGAATCAGATGAATTAAAGGGGTTATGATTTGATGATTAAGTTTGTCAATCAGTGAGTAGTCATGAGAGGTTTTGAAGCTGGTAGAATTCAGAAATGTTATTTTAAGCAAAAAGCATGAAAAAAGTTTACTGAGAAAACTGCTTTCAACACAAATCAATATTAATTATAAAAAGTCATTTGAAAAAGCTATGACTAGAAATAAGACTAATTTTGATGATTACAATTCTCTAAAGCCCATAATTAAATAACTAAATACAATGTACTGGTACTCCATTCTCACACATGTTCACTGATTAAGTTGGCTTACTTCATTAAGCAACAATGTATCAACAAATATCCATTTCTACATGGTGAAAACAGATTCAATAACAACTTTCAAAAGGGAATTGGATGGGTACTTGAAGAGGAAAAATTTGCAAGAATATGGGGAAACAGCGGGAGAGTGGGACTGATTGGGTGGCTCTTCCAAAGAGCCAACACAGGCACGATGGGCCGAATGATGGCCTCCTTCTGTGCTGTAATATTCTATAATAAGTGGGAAAGTAAGGACAGTATACTAAACATTTGGTTCTGTATTTAATTATATACTTGAATTACACATCATTCTTTACTGCACTCTTCAAATCTTTTAGAAAATGAAAATGTAAAGGAAACCATGTGATAATCAAGTTCAATCCAGATAATCAAATTAGTTCAGTTTTTGGAATGGTTCATTGACCCCAACATGGGAACAGGTTTGAAAAATACTTTAGAAAGAAATGCTTATTACTCAGAGGTGAAAACAATAATGCATTTATAAAGGCCAAATTTCTCAATAGGGGAAAACTATAATAATAAAAAAAATCTTATTCAAATCTCATTGGTTTCAAAAAAGAGGGTAATATCTTACTAACTAAACTTTGTAAACCAACTTAGTGTAATGTGATTCATAAATACGCCAAACCCAAAGCAACTCCATATACTAATTGACTCCTTCTGTCTTACCTTGGGTAGATTTTCCTTATACTGGCATTGTTTGTAGGCATCACCATAGTAATCTGCAGCTTGATTAGCTAGTTTAGCTATTATTGCATCTTTCATTTTATCTGTAAGACAGAGGTTTCAATAGCGACTTAGATGAAAATAACCACTGACTGTCTTGGTTTTCCCCAGCCCTTAATACAATCTAATAAAAAAAGTTAGGCTTTATTGGACCCAAACCTAGCTATTTAGAAAGGTGCAAGATCACATTTCCAAAACGTTCTCAAGTTCCAAAACATCAACACTGATGGTACAATTCTGTACTCCATTCTATTGGCTACAAAGTATCCAAGATACGCAAGAATAAAGCGATTACTTCTCAGGTATCACAAAACAAATGCCGGAAACCTCATTGTTGGCTGAGTCCAATATCCCATAATAATATTACTTACTTGATATTGCACATTATATTGTCAAGACGTCTCAAAGCGCTTCACTAAATATACTGTAATGTGAGTTGACTGTATATTTTGTGGCTGAAATGCAGCAGCTAATTGGGCACAGCAGCGTCTGACAGACAGTTGTGGAATGAGCGACCAAATTATTGTTCTTTTTTTGGAAGGGGTTATTACCCCCGGAAAGCGATCCGCCAATCTACTAACAACTGAATTTCTTATTGCGAGCAACAACATTATATGTGAGGCACAAACAAATGGCCAATTTCTGCCCCACACTGATGCCACTTCCAGTGCACAGGATATATTGCTAATGTCATATGCTGTACATGCACAGAAAACGCCACAATCACTTCTCTTATAAAGTGGAGGTGCGAAGCTGACAACTGCTAAGCTACGCTTACTGCAATAAAATGCTAAAATTTAGTTTGCTGAACATATCAACAACAACAAGATTACACTGAAAGAGCGCCTTTCACGTCGGGAGGACATCCCAAAGCGCTGGAATGAAATGAAAATGTACTGAATGAAAAAAAACTTCTAAAAAGTGTAAACAACAATGGCAAAACTTTTAAAGAATGCTAATAAATATTTAACCAGATGATATTTTAGGATGGTAATAGAATAGCTAAACAAAACAACATCTAAACATGAATATTTATTTACCCAAGTTGTTTAGCACTGACACACCTGAATTTCAGTTGACATTAACAAATCCATTACATACAAAAAAAAGTAACATTTACCAGCAGTTGCTTTAAGGAAAAACACTTCCTGTGCTTGAGCCAGCATTATCAGACTGAGGGTGCCGACTGTATCTGGAGAGATGTCCATAGTGGGCTCCCGATTCAATGCTGACAACACGGTATCCTTGATCTGTTGAAATGCTCCACTACTGAACTGTTGAGAGGGAAGAGGAAAACAAATCACTTTTTTTTTTACATTATCAGTAACATTTAAGAAGCAGGAGTAGTTGTATTTTCTAAATTGGTCAGCCAGGTGTCCAATACATACGGAAACAAATTATCATCCTTAAGAGTATCCAAATCAAACTAATGAGAGTACCACACATTTTCATTTGCCTGGAATAGAGTACACACTATCTATCCCCTGTTTACCTAATCCCAGAAAGTGCAAGGGGCAGTTAGCAAGTACCAAGGCTTGGGGAACCAAGAGTCCATTGGAACACAGTAATACTCACACAAATTGCATCAGCCAGGATTATAACATTTAATATGACTTGCGCAAAGTCAAGAATTGCAGGCAAACTGTATAAATCGTATAAAATTCGATTGAATTAATAATCTACACTACTCATGCGTAATTTAATGCAACTGGTAAGTGCGCATGCCGTAATTTACCATTGCAGCCGTTAAGAGCACATGTATTAAATCACTCGATTCAATGCGTCTTGACCTGTCACAGCATGTGCACTATGCAAACGTTGGAATTGCATTGAATCTCAGGAAACAAAGTTCTTCTGCGCATGCCTCAACGGATGAAGAAATTTCCTGCTTTATTAATTATCCATTAAGATTTTTGTAATAACAAAACACCTGCATCAACAACATGCAATTTTTATTTACTTTCCAGATTTACATAAAGATGGACCCATCATTTTAAATAGGAATCAGTTAATTTCATTTCAACCTCATTTATTCTACAAACCACTGGAGGACACTAACACGATCCATTTTAAGTCTCACACAGCCATAATGTTTCGCAGCGAGAAGTCACAAAGGAAGATAAATTTAAAACAACAACTTGCATTTATATAGTGCCTTTCACGTGGGGTAGAGTCCCAGAGCGAGCGTTTGACAGTGGCGGAGTCTGACCCCAAGCCAGGGGGAGAGGGAGTGAGGAGGTGACCGTAAGCACGATCAAAAAGGTCTTTAGGTGGGATTTAAAAGTGGGGAGGGAGAGGCCAAGGCGGAGGGATTAAAGAAGGGAGTTTCAGAGCTTCGGGGCATAGTGGCCGAAAGCACAGCTGCCAATGGTGGAGCAGAGGGGGCGAGGGATGAACAGGAGAGCAGATGGTGGAGTGGGGCTGAGCAAGTCGGAAAGGTAGGTAGGTGCGAGGGCATGAAGAGATGTGAAAACGACTTGCGAGGATCTTGAAGTCGATCCCGTTCGGTAATTGGGCACCAGTTATTGGGTAATTGGGCACTGTGATGGGGGTCCGGAGTTTTGGGTCAGTTAGCACCCGGGTGGCAGAGATCTGAATTAACTGAATTTTATGTATGGTGGAACTCGGGAGACCAGTGAGGAGGGCATTTGAAAAGTCCAGCCGGGAAGTGACAAAGGCCTGGACGAGGGTCTCGGCTGCTGTGGATGTGAGGTACGGATGTGAGCGGGCAATGTGGCGATGGTGGAAAAAAGCGGTGAGGGAATGGATGGGGAGTAAGGAAAGCTGTGGATCGAACCTGACACCTAAATTCCGCACAGGTTCAATGAGTCTCAGGGAGAGCCTGGGGAGGTTGAGGAGTTCTGACCCGCAGGAAGGATGTTGACGAGAGCCAAAGAATATGCACTCATCCGGGCCTTGATGTCTGTCAGACAGCTGCATGCATTAATATCTATTATTCCATTAACAGCGATCCCAAAAAAAATACTCTTTAAAAAAGCAACGTCAAAGAACAAATGCAAAGGAATTGTCAGATGTGCATTTGCAACGAAAAACTCCCTACATACCAATCCTCTAATCTCGCTTCTTCCATCAAATAACAGTGCATTCAGGAAGTTTCCCTCCCAAACAAATGGAGGAGGGGAAAGAAAAATAATGAAACACTGAAGGTTTTCTGCAGGCTGTAATCAAATGCATCTTAGCCCTATAATGACATTGCTTGGGCATTTTTTTTTCCTTTGAATAAAATAATTCATGTTTCCCTACTGAGCAAAGTTCTGTGCTGGTGATTGGCTTTATGGCATTCACATACCACGACATGTAAAACACATAACAATGAGCTGGTCTATCTTCTACTCTAATTTGCGAGACAGGAAGTAATTTAGGATAACAGCAGAGCCAATAATAGTGGACAATGAGGGCTTTATTGTGGAGTCCTCTAGCTCAGTGGTTAGGGCACTCGTCTCGCAAGCAAGAGACCTGGGTTCGATACCCGGCGGGGCGAAACATTGGGCAAGTTTCCTTATTCCACACACCTGTTTGCCTAGCAGTAAGTAGGAAACTGGTTGTTAGTCGATTGGCAGATCGCTTTACCGGGATAATAATTACTTTTAAAAAATGGTCACTATTATGCCAGCGATCTTGCTATAATTTAATGGGATATCATGGTTAAGCCGTCACAAGAAGCACACAAATTAGCAAACATAAAATGTATCAATAATATGGAGTAAAATGCAGGAAATGTTTTTTAAAAATGCAGGATCACTCCCCATACAGTATAAAAAATGCATCATTATAAAATATAAGATGTTCACCAATCCTAAATAGAATTTTCCTAATCTACCACAAAACCCTGTGAAGGGTAGGGAGATAGAAGACACGGTCAAAGAGGAAGGTCAGGAAGGGCCTTGAAGGAGTCAAGGGAGGGAGCGAGGCTGAGGGATTCCTGGTTAGAGTTCCAGAGGGTGGCGGCAGAAAAGCTGAAGGCCTGACCACCAATGGTGGGGAGTTATGGAGCGCAGTGGCTGCCGAGCAGAGGTTCTGAATAATCTGCAGCTTGAGAAGGCAAGAGTTGAGAAGAGCAGGGAGTCAGCCTAGTCGAGACCTGGACATATGAATGCATGGAGGGGGGTTTCAGCAGCCTGAGAGGAGAGGCAGTGGCAGAGTTAGGCAATGTTGCAAAGGTGGGGAAAGGCAGAACATGTCGTGATCTGGGGTTTAAAGCATAGTTGAGGGTCGAACAGGACACCAAGGTTGCACACTGGCTCTGTGAGATGGAGAGTGCATCCACAAAGTGATGCTGTTAGTGTCTGAGGTGAGGAGGCTCTGACAAGAGCCAAGCAGCAGGCCCTCCATCTTATCAACATTCAACGAGAGTAAATTTGCATCCAGGACTTGATGTCTGACAGACAATATGCCAGCACAGCAGTGGTCCTTGAGTTGAGGGTGGAGGCAGCGAGAGGTAGAGCAGGGCATCATTAGCATGTATGTGGAAATTAACCCCATTACTTGTATATCAGAGCGGGAGCATGTAAATATTAATGCAGAGCAGACGAAGGACAGAGAATATTTGAACCAAACCTAACTGAGCATGTGTCAAGCCAGGCTTATCCAAATCTAATTACCATCTTGAGCTGATATTAGCATACATCAGCTCAAAAGAAACCCTTTTTTCACCCAACACATTGGTCAGTGTCTACTAAAATCTTGCTAGATTTGGCTTGAAGATTCTCTTATGACCCACAAGCTTCCATAATGAAATATCCAATACCTGCTCACTAAAGCGACTTCCCAAACAGCTGAAACCAGACATCTTCAAACACACATACGGAGAAGCTTTAGCTCTCAGCAATATCTTTTCCCATGTGTTCAAGACACCATTGCATGGCACTAAAGCGTGACTGTCAGGGCAATATTATGCAAGCCAACTTGCAAAACAATCCCTATTATCGAAAAATTTGTGCAGCCCACATGAATATATGACCCAAGTGAAATGACAGGCCAAAATACCCAACAGGAATTCTTCCCTTATTAATCCAGCTGTTTGAAATCCTTCGTAAGGGGATACTAATAATAATCCTTGCATTTGATAATGCGCCATTCACATTGAGGCATTCTCAAAGAGCTTCACAGGATTTAGTGTAAAGTATAATGAATGTACATTTTGTAGACGAATGAGTTCCCCACATTATTTCCAAAGGAAAAACTGTTCGCAGGCTGAGCAAACAGAGCTCATTAGCTGTAATACAAACCTTGTAAATCCGGCCAAACCTCAAAACCCATAGTACAAACTCGCACAGATTTTCTAAATATTTATGTTGTTTATATTGGAGGAATGAGTTGGAAGTATGAAAACGACATGATTGAAGAAACAGCCAGAATTCTTGCTTGTAGCCAATTGCTCAACGCACAAGTTACTAGGAGAGGCACATTAATTACTTATGAAATGCCAAGAGTCAGTAGAGGAGATCTAGATGTCAGCATGCTGTGCCCAGAAGGTCAGAATCCTTTCTCCCAGCACTTTTAGAGAAAATTAAGTATTGCACCTGTCAAGTTCCGGAGCTGCTGCCCAGTAATGCGCCATATCAGTACCATAATCCATACAGATCAGAAGCTCACAGGTTCAAAACTGTTTGTCTCCTCAGTTAATGTCAAGGAAAGCAGAAGGTGATGCCAGTAATGGGGGGGAGGAGAAAAGAGAAAAGTGTGGAAATGGCAGGGTTCCCACTCGTGATCTGATGAGAAGTACACATGCATCGATGTGAAGCTGAGGTTTCTTGATGCCTGATGAAATGAAACTTGTTCTATCCTTGGAACCTGGTAGCCTTTCAGTCAGAGGATACACTCACACCAAACACTTTTCAATGTTGTGCAATTGTGCTCATCAGTTCAAAGCACATCTGAAACATGCTGGCATCAAATGGAGGCTAAGCAAAAGTCAACAGGACTGAAACACACCGTTATAACCTTACCTGGATGCTACTGAGGCACACCAAGCACCATACAGATAAAATGGCATATTTCACAAATACGATTACATTTTTTATCAAGTAACACAAACAAAAGGCCTCACTTTCCTAGTGTTTAAGATTACTTACACAGTAGGAAGGAGAAGACCAATTATGCAGTTTAGAACTAATCTGTATAAATGGTGTGTGGGGGTGAGGGAGAAAAAAAAGAGAACAGAACTGTGCTAAGCTGTGCTAAAGTGTGCTTATGGATGTGGCAATTGATATCTGAAGAAAGAAGTATAATTAAACAATTTTATTAAATTGCCCGAGTAAAATACATACAAAATGTACAAGAAATAAGTTTGGTCCAAAGAAAGCTAGCAACCTAATCACTGCAATCCAACAACCGTGGTCATGGTCACAAACTGTAGTTGAGAACAAATATCCCAGACATCATAGTGTGCCTATTATAGAATTGCACAGGGCGGTCAGTGTCTCCTCACTGGACCAATCAACTTTAATCTCACATCCCTGTTTTCCTACAAATACAATTATCTTTCTTCAAGTCTCCATACATTTTAATATTTTCAAGTATTTATCCAATTCCCTTTTAAACCATATAATGAACTCAGCTCCAATTGCCATTTTGTTGTACAGAAGACACAATTAATACCAAAGGCAAAGATTATTATTACTATACTGTGTAATAATTATCAGCGCCTTCCTCTAATCTTCCCCTCTTTCCAGAACTTTAGAGAATGTCAAGAAGAAACAGGACCAAAGGAATGCAAACTTGTTCACAATCATAAAGTAAAAAAAAATATTCACTGATAAGTCTGGATAGCATTTGATCACCTTTCTTCTTTGAGGCATGAAGCCTCAATAATCATATATTTGGCTAATAGGGAACTTAACTGGAAGCTTGGATTAAGCCACAAGGTAATAACCAAAGCCTAACTATTGGATTGCAAAGTTCACCCTTCACATTCACCCTTTACTTCACATAAAAATAACATTTTATTTGTATCATTTGGCGTTATTTGATAACCAAAAAGCTCTTTTACCTGATAATATTTAGCTGCCGCCTTCAATCCTTCATCATTCTCCAGATTCTGTTCTGCTGCAATCTGGCTAGCAAGTGCTCCAGCATTGAACAGCACACAGCTCTTTTCATATCCCAAACTACAAAGGGCTGCAAGCAGATGTAAAAGAAAACATACAATGAGGAGGAAAGAAAGTTGGGAGAGGGGGTAGCTGTCTAAAGAGGTACATTTAAAAAGAGGAAATTCACATTGGCTCTATCAATACTGAAGTACTAATAGTTCCCTTTTTCAGCTGTACGGTATTACTGTAGGGAAACGCTATGGGGAAGAGGAGGAAGTCATCAGAATTGCAGTACTGGGGATGGTGTTGGAGCTCACCACCTCCTAGCATAGCCAAAAACACCAGGAAACAGTTTTGTTCACCGATATTGCTGATTTGAGGATTTACAATTAACAATAAATCTAGTCAACAACAACAACAAAATTATATTTATAGAGTGCCCTTCACATCAGGAGGACGTCCCAAAGCGCTGAACAGTTAGGTGTCGGGGCCCGAGCATGGGGGAGGGGTGGTGTAGGGGTGAGGGAAGATAGAGAGGTGGGAGGAAGACCAAAGGCACGGTCGAAGAGAAGGGTCTTGAGACCGGCTTTGAAGGAGGCAAGGGAGGAAGCGAGGTGAAGGGACCATGGGATGAAGTTCCAGAGTGTGGGGGCAGAGAGGCTGAAAGCTCGGCCACCGATGTTAGGGCGGGTCGGCCGGGAGACATGGAGCAGGTCATATATCACAAATATATATATATATATATACACACACACACAAACAAATACCACAAATCAGAACGCCACACCAAGATTCAACAGAAACAGCTTTCCAACATCAAAAGTATAATAACTGTAAATACTTACCAAGCTTAACAGATCCTCCAAACAAAGATCCTTTGTCAAATGCATCTTTCCAGGTAAAAGTTATACAAATCTTTGAATTAAAAAAAAGAAAAAGTAAGCTCCCAAAACAATCAAGTTATTCACAAAACACAAATATTTTAACACTGATTTACATTTATTATTAAATAAAACTATCTGCCCGAGTCCTTTCAACAAGTTGCAGGGAATGCTCAGATTTTCAGTTACAACATAGCACCTCCCTACTTCTCCAACCTGCTCACACACCTTTGCTCTGCCCCCCGAACCCCTGCGTATAACAATCATTAGTGATTCCTTCATCCTCCGGAATGCCTCTGGAACTCCCTACGACAACCCCTCAGCCTCACCCCATCTTCTTATGCTCTATCTCTTTGACTGCGCCTACGTTCATCTCCCTCTCCCCTTTCTTCCTTGCTTGGCATCCAACCACTGTGCAGCAATCGAAGAAGCTATCCTGCATGAAGGGTGCTATCTATATACCTGCAAGGTATTGTTGTTTGAATACAAAGCAATTTGCTCATATGGAAATTTGACTCCCAAGATTACCATAAATCCAAACAATTGACAAAAAGAGCCAACTCCAGAGAACATACAAGTGGTGAATTGGGAGACCACCAATAAAATAATTTAGAATTTTTTTATTTCGTTTTTCTCAAGACCAACATCTCAAGACTAGGCCAGCATTTTTTGAAGTTTGTAACTAACCAACTTTTCTGCCATCATTTTACTAAAAATAAAATCAAAGATAGTCCAGTAGGCCAGTGTGAACCACAGTGATAAATTACTCTCTTTAAAACTGGTTAGACTTCAAACTTTGAAGCAGTGTGCAGAAATATGACTGACCAAATAGGAAAGTACAACCTGCTGTTATGCCCCAGCTCTTGAATCAGTCATGAGTAAACAAAGAAATACAAATCAAATCACGAGCTTCCCCATCTAGAGATCACTTGCAATCACATTACAAAACTCAGCACAAACTGGAGATGGAACCTGAGACTTTGCTCATTGGCCAACTGGACTACTCTATAATGAAGGATGATTCAGCATCTAATGGTTGTTTGCTTCATGCTAGGGTGTGAAACAATTCAGTTATGCTTTGAAGTCAGCTGACTGCATGATTCATTGAGCCCAAGCTCCATACTGGAAAGGCAACTGCAACTGGAAATGAGCACACCACCTTATTAAAGCAACATGTGTCAACTTCCACAAGATATTAGACAAGAAAATAATATACATATCTATAATATTTGTATTTTATAAACCAACTACAACATTGAAACATCAACGAATTCCATTGGCCATCAAATGTAGCAACTATGTACTTTGTAGGCCAAATATGTCAGCATACAAAAGACCCACAACCAGCCATGAAATGAAAGACCAATATTTCTGGAGCATTGTTTTGCCATGCACACCAGAATAAACTCCCTTCTCTTTTCAAATAGAGTCATATGATCTTTACATCCACCTGAACAAGCAGATAGGACCATGATTTAACATCTCATTCGAAGGACACTGTCTCCTACAATGTAAAATTCAGATGTTTCTTACTATCCAAGAATATTAAGACATGTAGGACAGCTCTTTTTTGGAGGTTGGTCAGCAGATTTCTAACATGGAGGCACCCATCACCATGCTTAAAACTAGGATGAGAGTGGTACTGTAATTGCGTCAGCCACACATGGAAATTGCTGTGTCTGGAATGGAATGTGTACTCTCTCCCTGGAGGGAAGCACCCGACTGACCTAATTCCGGAGCAGATTGGCAAGAGCTTCAATAATAATTAAACTGCCATTTTTAATCAAATGATACATCAAGGCCAATTATGTTTAATAGGGTTCTTGCAATTACAGTGCAGTCACATTATAACGCACTTTGTTATAGCACTGGTTTGCCTATAAGGCAGGTGCTCTGTTGACTTCCTAGTCTGCTCATTGCTATCAATGTACAACCTAATCTGCTCGCAGTAGTTGGCTTGATTGTGCATCACATCAATGCATAACCTAACGTGCTATTAAGAATAAGTTAAGTTTTCTTTTGCAAGGCTGGTGGCTTTCTGTGCACATGTTCAGCACGTAGGAAGTGATGTCAACAGCAACGTGATGCCCCGGAACTTGGCTTTTTCAGAGCAGGAAGCTGGCTGGATTTCTGTGGCATGCAGTGAAGTCAACTGTCATGTTGACCGCAATGCAGAAGCACAAACCAGTGATCGTGCCTCAACATAGCATCTTAACACAGGTGGCGGTATTATGGACCCCAACTGTTGTAAAACAGCTACACTCTACTCAATTAACTACTCAATAGTTAATATTAAGCCCCAATCTCCACACACAATAAGCGAGGTAAGAAGCTCTTTAAAAAATGCTAAACATGTATAGAAAAATATAACATTTTTATACCTGGTTTTCTGAGAATGGAAACTTCGGCTCAATAGCACATAGCTGATCATAATACCTGAAAGAGATGTAAATCAGTTTAAAGGATATGTATTTTCTATCTTAAGATACTTCTTTTACTTTGAATAAAGCCTCATTTGAGCCTTATTTTTTTGCCCTCTTGGACAAAGCAAATTATTATAATTGACTCAGTAAGAAGGCAGAAATTGAGGATCATCACCAAAAGTAAAAAAGGAGGGTAGAAGAACTGATGTTAACACCAAGATTTTTTAAGAATAGAATTCTGTACCACACATATCTGTTGAAGCCAAGTCCATAACAGTATTTAAAAGAGAATTGGTTAAATTCTCAAATCATATGTGACAAAAGCAGTGAATGGTACAAGAGTACATCGCTCCAGTAGAGGAGTTGTCACCATCACAGACAATGGCCTCCTTTTACGCTATAAGATTCTATAACTTGGCAGGTTGACAACATAAAATTTTAAGATTTCTAACGTAATGGTTTAAGTAAACCAAGTCTCGTTTAGGCAATGAAAGCCTTGATATAGAACAACGTTCTAATAACTAAAAAAGCAAGAAAAACAAAATTATGATAAATATTAATTAGCATTACTTTAAATATCCAATTTAAACCCCAAGTAAGCATCCATGCCATAAGTAATTCATTAATTTTCAGCACCTTGGGATGTTCTCCTGACGTGAAAGGCGCTATACAAATATAATCTTGTTGTTGTTAAGAGCAGGATGATAAAGTGGCAGAAATCTGACCATATTGTGATTCAGCTTCCCAATTGTCAATAAATGCATTGTTTGCTAGGAACAATGAATAATTAATAGACAACACTTACATTTATCTAGTGTCCTTTACAAGGGGTAGCATCTCAAGAGTTCTTAAACAAATGTATTAAATTCTAATTAAATAACTACCTTTTTTAAAAAAATGTATAAAGTATACAACACAAATTAAGTTCTCAGCCCCTTAAAATGAACATTAAATATTTTGAACACAGTAACACATAACAACCCAAATATTAATTCTAATCACTTGTGCTATTTCTAAGCGAGTGAGTTGTTCAAATCTTAGGAATTATTCTGAAAGAAGTTACATAGAAGCAATAATTTTGTGAATTATAACATTGATCAGATATGCTGCCATTGAATTCAGCTACAGCTCTTCAATGATCAGAAAGTCTAACTAATATGAACTTCAGTGTGCAAAATCACAACAGACAATCAAAGAACGCAACACCCAAGCTACACTTTCAGCACTGTTTAATGAAATGACAGCATTTCCAAACCAAGCTTCCTCAAAAACGATAAACTCTTCCAAACAAAATAGGTCTTCTCAAAACCTTGGCTTTGTTTTCAAACATTTATAAATTTGCATATTCAAATTACAAAAGGAATTCTCTATGCCAAACAGCTCTTGTACATTATTATATATAAGTACAATAGAAATAGAAGTCTGTCAAGTTGACATGTAGAGTGCTTTGTACAACATAGTCCTCGAGTCAATCATTTGGTTGACGGACATTAACACTGAAAAACATTCAAATAGAAATAAGGGAAACAAAAATGAGAAAAGGTATTAACAATAAAGCAGCAACATGTTCAGTACAATAGTAAAAGAATTCGAAAGAGTAAAAAGGCCACATAAATTATAAGCAATTTTAGGTGGAAGTCCACAAAACAAGAGGAAATTAAAAGGAGATCTTGAATGGAATTGTTTTACACAAGAATGTTAAAAATGTGTAGTTAGGCTCCTTAAGTGTTTTCTTCAAAAAAAATTGTTAGAACTTTCATACAGTTGTTTATTTAGAGAGTAGTTTTTAGGCAGGACTTTGAAACGCTACAGCTAGTATTAATTAATACACAACAATCTGGTGATCTTGTAAGAATAACCCTAATCCTTATATTTGCTATACTGGCTTATCATATTGAAACATCGCAAAGCACTTTACAGGATTTTACTCTAAGATGTAGCAACTGTATTTGTAGGTCATTTACATACATCTAAATTTGTATACAGCAATGTTCAATAAACAGTCATGAAATGAGTGACCAACTTTATTTGGGGGACTATTGGCCAGGACTTTGTTATGTGGCTTGCCTACCTAAATCTTGCACATCAATTTGTCAGAACTTGTGTGCTACTTTACCCGTTATAGGAAACACAGTATCTCTAGTCTTTGGAAATTCTTTACCAAGTTTGACCAATATGTTTTTGCAGTCTCAAGAAATCAGTTTAAATAGTGACAAATTTTGAGCCCCTTTTCTATTCTTCCAATGAGAGACACATAAAGCTTTACTTCAAGAGGTTTACTACCACATTAAAATTGCAAAACATACAATGATAGGCTGGCAACATTTCCAAACAGTTTACTGTTTTTTCTACTTTTAAGCCCAACTGTAAAGATAAACAATATTGCAATGTTCACCAGACAATAACATCTGAAGTGTAAGGATGTATGTATTTTACTCTTGCTCAGTGATGCTGTATTCCTATAGATAATAACCTATACTTCAGTGCGTTTGAAGACTGAAGCGTTCAGATAATAGTTAATATTATCTAATCATCTCAGTTCTGCAGACATGAAACTATTTACACAACACAATAATAAAAAAAATATTGCATTTGATATTGTGTCGAGAACATCTCAAATCACTTCATAAAGTTTCTGAGCACCTCTATGTAAACTGATACGAGCAGCCAACACGTTTAAATAAATTCATATTAGCCGTGAACTGCTGAGCCGTCCAAGTACTGGAGGATCCCTAAGTTCTCCTGAACAGGTTGTATTGTCAGCAATGCAGCTTTACCCTTATGACACGACTTCTGATTTGGGGCTGAGAGAGAAATCTGACAAATGATTTTGATAAAATTAATAGACAGCTGTGTTGCCCAGCTTGTGATTTTACCCAAAACACAAATTGCAATGCCATCCCAAAGCCAGCTTTATAACTGGGTAAAATGGATTATGCATTGGGATTTTGAACATTTACAAAATAAATAATAATTCTTGCAGGTAATATAGCACCTTATCACATCATTGAGATGTACAGGGCTTTACAGAATATACTGGATAATGGATTGAATTTTTCTTTTTTTAAAAAAGGGATTATTACCGCCAGAAAGTGATCCACCAATCGATTAAGAAACAGGTTTCTAATTATTGCAGGGTAAACAGAGGCACCTGGAATAAGGAAACTTGCTCAAGGTTTCACCCTGCCTGGGAATTGAACCCAGGTACTCTCGCTTGCGAGGCGGGTGATGTAACCAATATTCTACAGGACTCCACTCCAAAAGGTGGTTCATTTGTATTCAAATAAACTTTCCTCAGTTCTCACCACGCTTTACGACTGCCAGCATATCAATTTCAAAGTCCCCACCCTTACCTACAATTCTATCACACCGTGGCACCTTTTTTTCCTCAAATAGAAAACAGTAGGCATTCAAAAAATGTGGAAAAAAACAGTTATCTTAAACTTGAATTCACAGGTCCAGAAGGAAAATGTCTCAATCATTATTTCTTCCCCTTTGCCAAGGAGCTAACTGAACAGCTCTTTTCAAAACCATGTCACAAGTAAGGAAATTACATTGAAGTCCACTCAATTCTGACTACAATTGAAACCCTATTGCACAAGATGAATTTGTCCTTCCCCCAACCACTGATATTTATTTACTGAGTATAATTAAGAACAATCAACAAAGCACGGCAAAATGGCACAGTGCAACGAAGTCCGAACACTATGCCACATAAGTGTTTGGACACAGGTTTGTGTGTATTATGGAAAAGGCATACATGCTTGCCAACACTGCATATCACTAAGAAAAGCCCAGACGCTTATCTGCAGAAGGGCAAAACCACCTCCCAGCGACTGGCTTCGAAGCAATATTGGTGAAAACTAGATATTTCTACTATATTTTCCAGAAGAGTTAAATGGAAACTGCATTTGCTACTTTAAGAATTACAAGAATTTATCCAATCTAGTCAAGTCCTTTGCAAAATTTGTAACTTGTTGCTTTTGTGAACTCTTCTAAACATATAATGACCAAAGAAGATGACTTAGTGCAAGCAAAACATCTAAGAGAAATTATCTTACACTGCTCTCTATTCATAGCTTAAACAAAAATCTCCATGATTCAAACACCCCCCTACCCACAGTTTAACAACCTGTTATAATCTAAGACAATAAACTCTGACCAGGTGACATTCATGTGGTCCCTGTATATTTGTGGGCGAACGCGGCAGCCAATTGCGCACAGCAATGTCCCACAAACAGTCATGGATTGAAAATGACCAATTTTATTATTGTTTTTGGAGGAATTATTATTAGGCGTGTGGAGTAAGGAAACTTCCCCAAGGTTTCCCCCTGTCTGGAATTGAACTCGGGTCTCTCACTTGCAAAGCGAGTGCTCTAATCACTGAGCTACAGGACTCCATTATCAGTCTTCTTGCAACCTCAACTGCCAACTAGATAGTGTTACCATATTTTCCAGAAGAGTTAAATGGAAACTGCATTAGCTACTTCAGCTTGCAGATTATTTCACAATATGTTCATCTATTTAGTTTTCTATTTGTCTTGATTCAGCCTGAACTCAAGTGTTGTGAACTAGTTTATTCATCCAAACTCTTGGTGTAGTTGGGTTTTATTCATTCATGACTCCCATTTCCTAGTATGATACAATTTTACACCAAACCATAATATGATTGTACTGTGATGCCACCCTGCAATTTTCAATTTAGCAATATTCGGAAAAACAAGCTTGCAGAGCCAGTTTTCACACGATTAAAGAAATACTCCCTTCACAAAATGGATGACATCAGAAGAAATGTAAGTGATAACTTTGTAGAGAAAAAGGTTAGAGAAATTAAAATAGATAAAATTAATAAAATAAGTGAAATAGAAAAAAGAAAATGTGAGGAAAAAGGGACAACATATTCATGGATAATTCTTAAACTTTAAATTTATTTAAATTGTTTTTGTATTTTATCAGTTTAGGATAAAATTACCCAGATGTTTGAGTTCATTCGTTAGGATAAATCATATTTTTCCAGCATCAATGTTCTGAAAACATAAATCTGATTGCCACCCAGTCTTCTTAGAATTTAAGGATCAAGTTTCCACATCTATCCACTAATTCAGCAATTATAGTCCAAATAAATAACATCCACAAATCCACATTATCAGTTCTTTCAGCATTTTAAATAGCCGACTGAGCTGTCCATGCTATTGATCAGTTACCTACTCTACCAAAGAAATATTCAATCAAGAAAAAACTGAAAACATACTACCGATCGAACACAGATTTAGCTAGTGAATGTTTGAGGGTTGCTTCTTGATGACCCCGCAAGCCATTTATAGATAGCCCTCAGGCCATAGGATGGCCACCACTGGTTTAGACCAAAGTTGACAGACTCATGCATTGCTTCCTCTTGGTCTGCTCCACCCACACTATAGAACTGTTATATTTTCTTATAGATTACTTGAAGTTCAGTTTCCTAAATTCTGCTACTAAAAAATCTGATACTGTATAATAATAATCCTTGCATTTGATATAGCACCTTATAGGCTCTTCACAGGATATACTGCAAAATGAATTGACTGTATATTTTGTGGGTGAACAGTAGTGGATTGGCTAACCAATTTTTTTTTGCAGGATTCCGCCACGTTTAGCAATCCGCCAATCAACTGACAACTGGGTTCCTACTTACTGCTAAGTAAGAGGTGTGTGGAGTAAGGAAACTTACGTTTTACCCTGCCCGGGAATTGAACCCAGGTCCTCACGCTTGCGAGGCAAGTGTTCTAACCACGTAACTACAAGACTCCACAATACTAAGGTACAGGACTCCATAATATTATTACTATAATACTAAATTCTAAAACCATTCTCAAAGAAAACCAAAATAATCCAGCCAAACATCTATCGGTTTTAGCCAGATAGGAATTTAAAATGAGTAAATGAGTACCAAATTACTATTAGTAAAAATTAAAATATATCTATATGAAAAACTGGACAGTCCTTAAACTCATTGGAAACAAGCGATTCAAAACTGAAATTGGATATACAAGCCGGTTACAGACAGAAGGAACATAAGGTGTTTTACCAATAAATTGTACAATCCCCTTGATAATCGATAGAAATCATCTATCATCCTTATTTATCTGCATAACAATTACTCATTGTACACATTCTCTTTGCAGTTAGCTTATAAATTCAAGCACACATGTGTAAAGCAACTAATCATTTTTAACTAAAAACACTTTTTCAAAAGTTTATTTTCTCAGTTTTGTTTTGAAATATTTGTATTGTACTTTATCCTCAAATCATGATATGTTAACAAGTAGTCTCTGGGCAATTCGTCACTCCAAAGGAAAAGAGCTCAGCGACAAATTATCCTGAGTGGCGTGTTAGGCATGGGTTCTCCCGAGTCACAAGGGGCCAATGTGACTGGTGCAGATGCTCAGCAAAGGTGGAGTATGCATTCTCAGATGCATCGCAAAGGCCTCTGTTCCAACGGAGGGACACATTGTGGCCTCGTTCCGTCAGGGTACGACAGAAAGCCTCTGCGATGGAAGATACCATCTTATACCATAAGTTATCCAATCAATTTTACAATGTAAATACTTACAAGAATTTCTAGAATGCAACCAGTTACGTGTTATGCAGAATGGAGTCCCTTACTAACTATTTGTATGGGAAGCAGCCGTGGTACTGACAGCATGGTGACTGAAGTGGTAGTGACAAGTTAAGCCAGGATCGAGTTATCAGAAGTTTACTGTAGTATCCCAACTGGTATCAGCTCAGATGTTCTGTTGATAAAAATCTCACCTCTGAGCCAGGTTGTGGGTTCTTGCCCCACCTTTAGGACTTTGAGACCATAGTCTAGGTTGACATTTCAATGCAGTGCTGGAGGAGAGCTGGATTATCAGAGGTGGTGTACATCAGGTGCTATTTTAAGCCAAGGTTCTTTCTGCCCATTTTGGTGAGTGTTAAAGATAAAATAGCTCTTCAATTCATGATTTTTTGTGGGACCTTTCTGTGTACAAATTTTTGTAAACAAAAATAAATTCCACTCATGGCCATGACAAAAAATATCCCAATGTCAAGACCCAGTATTTCCTGCTATGAAACAACAGGGTGATAATGAATTCCAAAGGTGGGACACTTTGAAACAAAGAAAGCAATAAGAAGTGCAAAAAGGGTATACGAGAAAAAACTTGCAAGGAATATCAAGGGCAACAGTAAACATTTTTATAAATATGAGAGAAAGAGAGTGGTAAAGGGTACTTTGGGCCTATTAAAGGCAGATTGTTGAATGAATTCCTTGCTTCCAATTTCACAGTAGAGGAAGAGGACAAAATATCAGTGGTACAAGGGAACCTAAAAATAAGCCAAAGAAGTACTAAATGGATTTATAAATACAAAAATGGTAATGGAGAAAATAATGGAACTACAGATAGACAAGTCTCCAGGACCTGATAAGATTCCACCCCATGGTATTAAAATAAGTAGGTGGGAAAATTGCAGACGTGTTAGTCATCATTTTGATTACCCCCATCCAACCCCGAAAAAACATCAAACGGGAGGACAATGTTGCTATTGTTATTCACCGTAAAGTGAATTGTGGGTGAAATGCGGCAGCCAATTGCTCACAACAGTATCCCACAAACAGTCATGGACTGAATGACCTATTTATTATTATTTACTTTGTTTTTTTAAAAAAAGGAATTATTACCCCCGGAAAAGCGATGCGGCAATCGACTAATAACCGGGTTTCAACTTAATGCTAGATAAACAGAGGCATGTGGACTAACGAAACTTGCCCAACATTTCTCCCTGCCGGGAATCAAACACAGGTCTCTCGCTTGCGAAGCAAGTGCTCTAACTACTGAGCTACAAGATTTCACAGGAGCAGGAAGTTACAAAGACTTAAGAGAGATTAAGCCGGTAGATAAAACTGGCAGATGCAATTCAATGTGGTGAGTTGTGAGGTCATCCACTATGGATCCAAAACTTACAAAACAAATATTTTCTAAATGGTGAGAAACTAAGAACTGTGAAAGAGCAAAGGGATTTGGGTGTCCACGTGCACAAATCACTAAAAACAAGCTCACAGGTACAAAAAGTTATCCAAAAGGCTAATGGCCTTTATCTCAAGGGGGCTGGAATACAAAGGAGAGGAAATGATGTTTCGACTATATAGACCCTTGGTCAGACACCATCTGGAGTACAGCATTCAGTTTTGGACACTGCCTCAGGAAAGATATATTGGCTCTGGAGGGAGTGCAGCACAAATTCACCAGAATGATACCAGGGCTAAAAGGGTTAAATTATGAGGACAGGTTGCATAATCTTGGTCTCTATTCCCTTCAGTTTAGAAAGTTAATGGGTGAACTGATGGAGATTTTTAAAATAATAAAAGGATTCGATAGGATAGATACAGAGAAACTATTTCCTCTGGTAGAGGGCATATTCTTAAAATTAGAGCTAGACCATTTAGGAGTAAAATTAGGAGGCAGTTTTTCCACCCAAAGAGTAGTGAAAATCTGGAACTCTCTCCCCCAAAAGGCTCTGCATACCAGATCCATTCACATCTTCAAGACTGAGATGGATAGATATTTGTTAGGTCAGGGTATTAAAGGATACAGAGCAAGGATAGGTAATCGGACTTGAGGTACAGGTCAGCCATGATTTTATTTTACAGGCTTGAGGGGCTGAATGGCCTACTCCAGTTTCTATGATAGTGTGCTGTCCCATGGAATATATTGATATCAAGTAAACTAAATAAACAAAGATGAATCATAGAAATGTTCAGATGGCAACCATTTCGCCAATCGAGTCTGCACTGGTTCTCAAAGCATGGTGTTTAAACTTACTGCCCTGCCTAATCCCCAACACTTTCAAGCCTTTATTCTTCATATATCTGTCCACATCCCTCTAGAAACCTGTAACAATGGGCACTATTACCTTATTTAGCAGAGCATTTCACATCCAAACTGAGTGAAAAAAACTCCTAACCTCTCGTTGTAACACAAATATAGCCTGTCGTCATTGACTCTCAATGGAAACTTTTTCATCTTATTTCAATTATGAGCATTAACGTGTTTATATATAGCACATATAAAATAAACAAGATATTCCAAGCTCTTATTTAAAAAAAATTAAGTTGCCAAACTGGTTTGAAACGGGAGACAATAAAAGAGCACAACTAAGGAGGAGGAGCAGCAAGCAGGTAACCAGGCCTGATGCTTGTGGGGGAGAGAGCAGAGGGAGGGAGGGGAGCAGAGAGGGGGGGAGGGAGGGGAGCAGAGAGCAGGGAGGGGGGGAGAGGGGGGAAGCGCAGAGGAGGGGGGGAGAGAGGGGGGAAGCGCAGAGGAGGGGGGGGAAGCGCAGAGGAGGGGGGGAAGCGCAGAGGAGGGGGGGGAAGCGCACAGGAGGGGGGGGAAGCGCAGAGGAGGGGGGGGAAGCGCAGAGGAGGGGGGGGGGGGGAAGCGCAGAGGGAGGGGGAAGCGCAGAGGGGGGGGGAAGCGCAGGTGTGTGGGGAGTGCCGCGCGCGTGCACGTGTGTCGGAGTGCGCGGGTGTGTGGCGAGTATATGGGTGCGAGGCACCTGGTGCAGTCAGTCAGTCGGGCCTCCTCCCACCCCCACCAGACACCGCCTGGATTCCCGTAGCCACGGCCGCGCTCCCCCCGCGTGGCTGAAGCTGCTGCTCCTCTCCTCGCGGTCCCCCGCCCCGGGGGCCGGGCCGGGCTGGGCCGAGCCGGGCCGGGCTGGGCCGGGCCGGGCCGGGCCTCACCTGAGCAGGATTTCCAGGGAGCTGTCGTGCTTGTCGAGCGGCCTGCCCACGGCGCTCTTGCGCAGTTTGCTGAGCTCCTCGGCCGCCCTGATGTACTCGGACTGGGCCTCGCCGCTCGGGTTGGTGCTGGCGATGAACTTGGAGAGCGGTTTGGCGAAGTCCACCTCCGAGGACTTCTTGAGCGGCACCGACACGAACCCGGTCGCCATCGTTACCGGCTCGAGAGTGGCGGCAGCGCTGGCTGACTTCCGCCAGTGACGTCAGAGGCCGCAGTCAGGTGGTGCAGAGGCCGGCGCTGCCCAACAGTCTGTCCCAACAAGTTGGTGGGGGGGTGGGGGAGGAGCGAGGCGGGGAACAAGGACTGTCAATCATAATAATAATATAATAGTAATAATCCTTGCATTTGATATTGCATTTGATACAGGGCCTTATCACCTCGCGCTTCACAGGATATACTGGAAAGTGAATTAACTGTGTTTTGGGGGTGAAACGCGGCAGCCAATTAATTGCACACAGCGGCGGCCCGCAAACAGCCGTGGATTGAAGTGACCAAATTATTATTATTATTATTATTATTACCCTAATCCACCAATTGACTTGACAGCTAGATTCAAATTTACTGCCAGGTAAACAAGACGTGTTGGGTAAGGAAACTTACCCTAACGTTTCGCCCCGCCCAGGAATCGAATGCGGATCCTCTCGCTTGCAAGGCGAGTGCTCTAACCACTACACGACAGGAGTCCACAACCCATTTGACCTCATTTTTCTTTATCGCCTGCAAGGATGGGTGCCACCAATTGGGAGGAGATGGCACCCAGTACAGCTTGCATTCCCAGTCTGGCTCAGTGGGTGGCACTCCCGCCTCTGAGTCACAAGCTTGTTGGTTCCAAGACCGAAGTCAGGACTTTAAACCAATTATCCAGTCTAATGGTAGCCAACCATTTATATTCAGCCAATAAAATAAGTGTTCTTGATTGAATATTTCTTGATTTTTTTTGCCATATATGAAGAAATATTCAATCAAGAAAAAGCTGAAAATACATGAGCGATCCAATATGGACTTACATAGTACGAATTGTCAGGGGTGGGGTGAGGGGGGTGCTTCTTGATCGCCCCATCAGCCACTTCCAAACCTCAGGTTAGCTTCTTCTGGTCTAGAAGAAGTTTGCCTACAACATTGCACATTATATTAACTCCTATAAAGTACTCCAATACATTAGATACACAGCATATAAACAGGCCATTTGGCCTAACTGGTCTATTCCCAGTGTTTATGCTCCACATGAGCCTCCTCCTGCCCTTCTTCAACTAAGCCTTCAAGCATAACCTTCTATTCCTTTCTCCCTCATGTACCTCTCTAGCTTCCCCTTAAATACATCTATGCTATTTGCCTCAACAACTCCTTGTGGTAACATGTTCCACATTCCCACTACTCTCTGTGTGAAGAAATTTCTTCTAATTTCCCTGTTTGATCAATTTGTGACTATTGTATATTGATGGCCCCTGGTTTTGGTCTCCCCCACAGTGGAAACATCTTCCCTATGTCTACCCTATCAAAACCTTTCATCATTTTAAAGACCTCTATCAGGTCACCCCTTACCTTCTCCTTTTCAAGAGAAAAGAGTCCAAGCATTTTCAACCTTTCCTAATAGGTATAACCTCTTAGTTTTGGGATCATCCTTGTGAATCTCCTTTGCACCCTCTCCAGTGCCTCTACATCCGTTCTATAATGTGGGGACCAGAACTGCACACAGTATTCTAAGTGTGGTCTAACCAAGGTCCTATAGAAGTTTACCATAACTTCCCTGCTTTTCTTATCAATCCCTCTAGAAATGAACCCCAATGCCTGGTTTGCCTTTTTTATGGCCTTATTAATCTGCGTTGCTACTTTTAGTGAATTGTGTATGTGTACCCCAGGATCCCTTTGCTCCTCTATCCCATTTAGGTTATTATTTTCCAGGATGTATGTGATTTCCTTATTCCTTCTACCAAAATGTACCACCTCACACTTTTCTACATTGAAATGCATTTGCCATTTAATGCCCATTCAGCAAGTTTATTAATGTCTTGCTGTAATGTGTCGCAGTCCTCTGTATTAACTATTCCCCCCAATTTGGTGTCACCTGCAAATTTTGAAATTGTACTGCTGATTCCCAAGTCCAAATCATGAATGTATATTGTGAACAACAGTGGTCCCAATACTGATCCTTGTGGAACACCACTGCCCACCCCCTGCCAGTCTGAGAAGCTATCCTTTACCCCTATTCTCTGTTTTCTGTTTTGCAGCCAGCTTGCTATTTTTCCCCTGACTCCACATGCTCTGACCTTATTCATTAGTCTATTATGTGATTCCTTATCGAACACCTTTTAGAAATCTAAATATATTACATCTACCACATTACCCTTGTCTCCTCTTTCTGTTACTACCTTCAAAGAATTCAATGAAGTTGGTCAAACATGATCTACCTTTTTGAAATCCGTGCTGACTATTCTTTATTATGTTTTCCATTTCTAGATGTTTTTCTATTACCTCTTTCGGGAGGATTCCATTATCTTTCCTACCACCGATGTTAAGCTAACAAGTATATAGTTCCCTGGGCTTGTTCTATCTCCCTTTATAAATATAGGTATAACATTAGCTATCCTCCAATCCTCTGGCACTACTCCCTTTTCTAATGAGTTATTATATATGTGTAATAGTGCCTCTGCTATCTTTTCCTTCGATTCTTTTAAAACACACAGATGCAATCCATCTGGACCAGGGGATTTATCCTCTCTGAGTTTCATTACTTTTTTGATTATATCTCCCTTTGTATCTTAAATGTATTTATATTATTTTCGATCTCTTCTACTGTTATGTCCTCCTGATTCATCTCCCTGGTGAATACTGAGACAAAGTAATTATTTAACATTTCTGCCATTTCGCTTTCGCGGTCTGTAATCTTATCTTGTCCATCCTTTAGTAGCCCTATTCCTATTTTGATTTATCTTTTGTTATTTATATGTCTGTAGAATATTTTACTATTTCTTTATATTCCTTGATAATTTAATTTCATAATTCCTCTTTGCCTTCCTAATTGTTTTTTTTGACTATTTTCCTGACCTCTTCGTATTTTTTTTTGTCATGCTCTCCCTTGTTGTTTACATACTTAGTTGAACACCTCTTTCCTGAGTCTCAACTTTGCCCTTATGTCTTTATTCATCCATGGTGTCTCATTATTATTTAGCTTTGTCTTTTTAGTGGAATATATTTCTCCTGGACTATTGATCACTGTTTTAAATGTTTCCCACTGCTGCTCTGTCTCTTTGTTTGCCAATATTGTTTTCCAGTTTTTTTTTTCAAGTTCCATTCTCAACCTCTCAAAATCAGCTTTATTCCTATCTATTACCCTGCTTTTTGTCATACTGATGTCTTTCTCAATCATTATCTTAAACCTTATTAAATTATGATCGCTATTACCTAGATGTACTTGTACTTTTCTTATCTACTCTGGTTCATTTCTCATTACTAAATCCAGCAGGGATTTCCCCCTTGTTGGGCCGCTTACATACTGGGTAAGAAAGGAATCCTGTACACATTGAAGGAACTCCATTCCCTTATCCCCTTTATCTACCTCTTCTAGCCAATTTAGTAGTTGAAATCCTCCATGATTATTACATTATGCTTTTACTCATTTCCCTAATTTGCTTGCATATTTCTTCCTCTGCCTTCCTTCAACTATTAAGTGGTCTGTAGAGTACCCCTATTTGTGTGATTGATCCCTTATCTTTTATCTCTATCCACATAGATTCCGTTTCTATCTGATGGCTTTGTCCCTTTTTTCTACTGCCATGATGTTATCCCTAATGAGTACAGCTTCTCCACTGCCCTTTTTCCCATCTCTATCCTTTCTAAATACGTTATACCCTGCAATGTTTAATTGCCAATTCTGTTCATTTTGTAGCCACGTTTCAGTAATCCCAATTATATCTGGTTCCTCACTACAAATTATTGCCGCCAGTTCTCCTGTTTTATTTCAGATGCGGTGTACATTGCTGCACAGACAGTTTACTTTATTATTATTAATTGTTCCTCATTTTATTTTTGACAGTGTTTTCACACTTCTGTTCTTTAATTGTATTAATTCCCTGACCATTTATATTCTCCGTATTTCTTACTTTGTCTGGCTTGAGCCATTTCCTTCTGATCCTTCCTGACACAAGAGGTACTATAAGTAAAGCAAGGTTAATTATTGTGTAGTAGAGAAATGATAATTGTACCAATTGGGATCAGCCCCATCGTGGATATGCAAAGAATGAACAGTGGATGGCTTGCAACCGAGCTTGCAACCCTCGCTCGCCTCCACTGGCTCCCCATCCCCCAGAGGATTGATTTCAAGATCCTCATCCTCACCTACAAGGCCATTCACGGCCTTGCTCCCTCCTACCTCTCCAACCTACTATCCCCCTACCTACCTGCCCGTACCCTCCGTTCCTCTGGCTCCGGTCTGCACCACGTCCCCCGCCCCAACCGCCCTACTATCGGTGGTCGGGCCTTAAGCCTCTCAGCCCCCAGGCTCTGGAACTCCATCCCCCAGTGCCTTCGCCTTGCTTCCTCCCTTTCCTTCTTCAAGGCCGGTCTCAAAACCTTTCTCTTTGAGCGTGCCTTCAGCTCCCCTCTCGACTCTCTTCCTCCTCCTCGCTCCCTCCCTTCCCTCCCCTCACCCTGACCATTTCCCCCCTCCTCTCTCCCTCCCTTCCCTCCCTCACCCTGACCATTTCCCCCCTGCTCGGGTCATGACCCAACTGTGCAGCGCCTTGGGACGTCCTCCTGACGTGAAAGGCGCTCTATAAATGGAATCTTGTTGTTGTTGTTGTTGTTGTGGGGGTTGGATTTGGGAGGGGGAAGGAGTGAGGGATGGGGTACAGACCAAAGGGGATGGGGTGAGGAGGGTAAGATGACTGAAGGTGGGGTCAAAGACGAAGGTCTTGAAACAGATCTTGAAGGAGGAAAGGGAGGGACGAGGCAAAGGGACTCTGACATGGAGTTTCAAAGAGTGGTAGCAGAAAGGTTAAAGGCCCATTCACCAATATGAGGGCGGGGGGCAGACCAGGGATGTGAAGCAGACCAGTGCCTGCCCCGCACAGGGAGTAGGCATGAGTGCTAGGATATTAGAAGGTCACAAAAGTAGGGTGGGGCAAGTCTGAAGGGATTTAAAAGTGAGGAGACGATGTTGAACTTGATCCTCTAGGTAGGGGACGATGAGCTA